TGCTTGGGCAGTCTGTCACACCCCATTCGCGCCACATGTCCTAACCAAAACAGACTTTGTCGGGCGATGGTAAATTCAAACGGTTCCCATTGGGCGAATTCACACAGCATGTCCCCATTCACATGATTGTTATGCATCCAAAGTTTCCTCGTCCCTAAGCATCTCCTCACCGCATGATTCATCACCCTCTGGAGTTGGTCGATGTGTTCCCGGTTCCACATTCTGGATCGCCCAAAGCAAGTTAATGTGGGCATGATGACCGCTTTCATGATCTTGATGCGTAGTGTATACGGCATTTTGTGTTGCTGGTTCCGCGTCCCAAAAGACCAAGTTTTGGCTACTTGGCCCACTTTCAGGTTGGCACGAGCGATTTTCTGTGCAGTATCCTTATACGACCCTCCTTCTTCATGTAGCATTCCTCCCACATGCCTGACTACCGCGCGCTCCCCTTTATATCGAACATCGGTTAATTTGCGCTTTGTTCCCTGTAGCCGCAATCCCTCGGTTTTTCCCGGATGTACCTTCTCACACCAATCCTTCATTGTGCGCTCCAAAAGTGGTTCAGCATACGGCATTTCTTCAGCCTCCCCGACAAGAGTGGTATCATCCGCAAACCCTACATCACTAATGACTTGTTCCTGGGCCTTCCTGGTCAGATGCTGTCTGCTGTGAAATCCATGACCTAGTCTCCCATCCACCTTGACCGTCCACGCCACGCCGGGCGTTTGTCCTCGCGCCGTAGCTTCCATTTGTCTGCGAACCCTAAAGTCTTCCATGACAGCAGCATGGTAACAATTAAAGAGTGGAGGACTTGATGGACAGCCTTCGCGTAATCCCTTGTCTACCTTATACATCGCTGACACTCCCTGATACACGCGCACCTGATACTCAGTGTGTTCATGCAATGCTTGGCATACGCTAATGAACTCATTTGGGGCTCCTTTGATTTTCATCAGTCGCCATAAGGAATCTCTGCTCACGCGAGGATACGCCTTTTCAATGTCAAATAGCCGCACTAGCATGATCTCGCCGGTATCTACACTGCTTGTACCCTCCTCAACCAGCCTTCGCGTAACTTGTAGCGCGTCGTCCACCGATCTATTTCGCCTGAATCCCATCTGCGCCTCCGGTAACCATGGTTCACTCCACACCTGGACTCTCTGCGCTACTACCCGTGCAAGCAACTTGGACCCTACGCTGAGCAACGTGATACCCCTCCATGTGGACTTGTCTGTTTTATCGCCTTTTTGTTTCCAAAGTGGTACCACCAAGCCTTTATTCCAACTCTCCGGCCAATCGGCCGCTTCCTGCCCCGCTACCGCAGATTTTGCATTTTGCCACATTTGCCTGACACAAGAATTGATTTCATCTCGCAACTCCTCGGGTCCATACTTGTAAAACTCGGCTAGGAACCCATCCACGCCTGCTGCCTTTCCGTTTTTCATTTGCATCCCGTGCGCCGTAATTTCCTCGTCCGTGGGCGCCTCCCCCAGCCATCCGGAGTCCTCATCCCCCCCGGTAACATTTTGCCATACATCCTCTTGCGCAATTTCCCGACCTTCCTGTAGCTTTCGAAAGTGTTCCTTCCACTCCTCCCTTTCCTGCTCCGGATTCGCCACCGTCGCCTGAAAGCCCCGTAGTTTCGTCACTTCATGCCTGACTCCCAGAAGTTTGACCAGTCTGTAGACTTCCTTCGTGTTTCCTTGTTGATTCGCCTTGTTGAGGTTTTCCGTCACTCTATCGACCCATTCCCATTTCCACCGCAAACGTGTCTTACGCCTATGTTTTCGGACCTGGCGGCTGTGTTGTTGGGCCCGTAACAGTTCTTGTTGTCTATTGGCATCTCTCGGCGGACTGTCCTCTCTGAAGTCCCTAACCCAGGCCAGCGCCTCTGCTACATCCACATCTAGTTGCGTGTTTTCCGCTTCATGACCCGTGAGATGTGGCCGCCTGTCCGCTGCCCGTCTAGGTCCTAACACCTCCTTGCTAGTTTCCAAACACATGACCGTAAGGTCGTCCCATCCCAGGTAACCCTTGTTTTCTTTGTGTTCCCGAATGCGTTTTTGCAACAGTTCACGCCATTTTTTCCTCAGCTCCTTGGCTTCCCTTCCTGGTACTGCTAGCTTCTCCACTTGTGGCAACACGATATTCTCCTGTCCAGTCTCCTGTCGCGTAGTGTTGCGGTCTTGCATCGGCCAGAAGTGACAATGCATTTCCACCGGCAGATGATCCGTGAAATCATCCCAATGTACCGTCCCTCCTTGTGCACCTCTGCCCCCCGCCCGCCCCCTATGAAACCTTCCCGACCTACCCAACGGTTCCCCCGCATTTCCACGCCGATCCGCATGTACCGTGCGCACGCAATCAATAAACCGAAAGCAATTACCTTTCGTGAGGAAGTGGTCAATGGTGTGTCCCGTACCGTGTGCTGGATGCCACCAAGTGAATCGCTTGTTCAGCGGCTGATCAAAAAAGGTGTCCATTACCAGCATGCCATGTCGTGTACACCAGGAAAGCATATCCCGTCCTCCTTGGCTGGTTCGCAAGCTACCATGTCGCCCCACGATTCTCGGCCAGTCGTTATGTGAGTTTGCCGCCACATCCGCATTGAAATCACCTCCCACCACTACGATGTCATCACTGGCACTGGCCCGCATCACCGTCGTCATTTGGTCCCAAAACTCCGCTCGCACCCTCTGTGGTGCTGCATGTACTGGTGCGTAGGCGGCCACCAGTGATAAACCCTTGCGACTGCCGACCCGAGGGAATCGCACCATAACCACCCTCTCCTTTTTCGTTCGCGCCGCGTGTACCTTCGCCCCGCCCGCACGCCACTCCGCAGTGAGTGGCCCGTCCATCGCGATTGCCACTTTCCCGCGCACCACTACAACCCACTCCTTCCCGTCCACTTGTATGTGTTTAGTGCCATTTGCCCCCAAATTTACATCAGACAGCATTATTGCCTGCCACCCCCGCTTATTCGCCAGCCGAAACAAACATTGTGTCTTTGTCCATGGATCATATGGAACATCAACTGCCCCCCATTGCCGAACATTCCACCTCCCGAACTTCCAGTTGCACACGTGTTGTCGATTGACCCCTCTAGCCGCCGCTCGTCGTTTTCGCAAAGCCAATAAAATGAGCCGATTCCGAAGACTGCGCTGTTTGCATCGCCTTTTATACGCCCATCGCCGCATACTGTGCCGTTGGTTTTTCTGGTCTCTGGGGTTGTCACCAATTGAACCCCTCAAGATCCAAGGCCAGGTTAGCTTCGCCCGATAGCCCACCCAGAAAGCTATCCGGCACGAGGCCTCCCAGGACCCCAGGCGACGAAGATACCCAGAAGGATACCCCGTCAACACCTGGGACCCTAAGCAGAGACTGCCAAAAGCAAGCCAGAGTACAAGCCAGGTTGGAAGGCACCGTGGAGGGTTGGTGGCACTCGCCACACTGCACTTGGCAAAACCCGAAGTGGTGAGACTGATTGACTCGTGGCACCCAAAGGGTAGGAGTTCGTCAAGATCGATCTTGAGCCGTAGGCGACATGTGCATGAGATATGTCCGGATTTTACCCCGGAGCTGCTGTGCCCTTGTGGGGCCCTCATATTGGAATTCACGGTCGTTGACTCGACTACGTCACTGATGCCTGCGTTCACACTCAATGCAGCTGAGTCGCTCAGGCGCTATTTTCAATTTTTGCTGTACCCAAGATGCAAAAGGATCTTGTCCCCCGCTCGCCCACGTGAAGGACTCCACCACGGCGAGGAGGCAAGAATAAGAGAAAGAGGGATGAGGAGTGATGTGTTTCACCCCCTGTGCAGCATGCATTTTCTAGGGCGATGATGATATCAGAGCGATCGTGCAGAAAAGAAGTGTTAGTGTTGGAGCCGTTTTCAGTGGCATGTGGTGCTGTTGTTTTCAGGGTTTCATCATCCATGCTTTTTGGCAGGAGTTCCTTGGAACTCCTGAACAGTGGTCTTGGCGTCAGAGTGCATGGTGTGCAGTCTGTAGCATGCAGTGCAGTTTTTTTGTTTGTTGTGTTTGCAGCTTCTTTGTATTGCAGGTTGGCTGGGCATCCCCATCATGGGTATCGAGGCACCGGCGGATTAGGGTTTAAGGGTTAAAGGCAATATAAGGGTTTAGGGTTTAAGGGTTAAGGGCTTAAGGTTTCAAGGGTTTAGGGTTTAAGGGTTGAGGGGTTTGGGGGTTCAAGGGTTTAGGGTTTAAGGCTTTCAGGGTTTATGGTCTAAGGATTTAAAGGTTCAAGGGTTTAGGGGTTCAGGGTTTAAGGGTTTAGGGTTAGAGGTTTTTAGGGTTTAAGGGTTACAGGTTGAGGGGTTAAGGGTTTAGGGTTAAAGGTTTTTGGGGTTTAGGGTTTCAGGGTTTACAGGTTGAGGGGTTAAGGGTTTAGGGTTTGGTGTTTTTAGGGTTTAGGGTTCCAGTGTTTAAAGGTTAGGTTTAGGGTTTGAGGGCCCGGGTTCAGGGGTGTAGGGGTTGAAATTGGAGCTTTTAGGGTTTAGGGTTTTTGGTTTTCGGTTTTACCAAGTTTAGGGTTTAAGGCATAAGGGTTGAGGTTTAGGGTTTGAGTTCAAGGTTGAAGCTTTAATGTTTACAATCAGATTTTGGTCCCGTAGGGAACCGGAGGGATGAAATCTTTATTTATCCTCCCAATTTGTCGACGGTTTTATATTCTTTATAAAACCGAGTGCGCGTTCATCTTTAGGTGCATGTCAGAGCTGTCTTGCAGTTACTGACTTGAGCTTCATCTCCGTTGCCCTTGTTTTCAAGGGACGGGGGGGTGGGAAACCTACTTTCCTCGGCACGAGCGAAACTGCTTGTGCTGGGGGGTGTGGGTGCCGTAGCTGTTAGCCGTTGGGCGGGTTAGTTCCACCCTCTGGTGGAAGCCATGGAAACGTCAGAGCCCAGCCTGCCTGTGGCTAGTGTAGCTATAGATGACGAATCCGGTCACATGTCAAACCCGTTCAGTTTGCTTGACGACCATGCCGAGGGTCGTGCCTTGTCCGAGGGATCATGTGACGTGTCTGATTGGGATTCATGGCTTCTTGATCAATACAGCAAAGATCATGTGCCGAGTGACCCCGCGCATGGGCCTAGTGAAGCAGGTGCTGAACCTGAAGTTCAGAGCCCCAGCTTGGCCATTGAGACCAGTTTAGACGGGGAGCTGGCTGCCGGTGATCGGGTTGTCCAGGGTCATAATCTTCCGTCGCAGGCTGCACCGTCAGGAGAGCCGTGTAATCGTGCAGGGTACGAGTGCCTTTTGCAATCTTCCTTTCAGTCCCTAGATCAACAGGTGCCGAAATTCTTTTGGCAAGAAGGGTTCTGGGCAGATGTCTTCGGCCCCAAAGCTCCACTTGTGCAAGCACCTTCATTTCCTCGCATAGAACCGCCAGCAGGAATGGTTGCACCGCAGGACTCCGCGACGGGGTCAAGCGGATCATCTAAGAGAGCCCGTAGGCTTGCTCCTTGTATCTTTGAAAAGGTGGTTGTCAACATGCGTGTGGGACCAACGCGAAGCAGACCTCATTCGTGCATTGTCAAAGTGGTGCCTAGTGTTTGAAGCCTGGGACGTGACACGAACCAACGTTGCAGATCAACTCTTGAAGTGCGAATCAACAGATGCTTGTCATGAGCTTTTGTCGGATTACTTGGCAAAGAAGGCCCCGAGCACCTGCTTAAAGAGGGCGAACAGCATGCTACGCCTTAACAAGTATGTGGCCAGCGAAGGGTTCCAGATGCCCACTTCAGAGCCAGATCTGTACCAGCTGCTGCGAAGAGGCAAGACGGGTGGCGCATCGCTCTCGGAGTTGCAAAGCATCATGGAAGCTGTGACCTTCGTGCGGTTTGTATTTGATGTAGAATGTCTTCAGAGCTGTGCACGTAGGAAGCGTTGCTGGGGCCTTTCAACTGCCAAGAAAGCCGCTCTTGTGTCCAGAGCAGACCCGATGAGAGTAGCAGACATTCTCGAATTGCATCGCATCCTGTTGGATGAGGAAGGTTCGCTTTGGGACCGACTGATGGCCGGTTCTGCACTTTACTGCATCTACGCTAGGTGCAGGTGGTCCGACGCGCAGCACATTGACATGTTGGTGTTAGAAGCGGGCGAGACACTGTTCAATGACTTCGGTTCCGCTGTAATCGACATACACAAGACGATGCATTTTGCTTCAAGAGCCCCTCGCTCCATGGAACTCGTCGCTGTAGGAAGAGGGCTCGACGGGTCCGATTGGCTAGCGACGTTTGTAGCTGTCAGGAAACTCCTCGGGTGCTCGTACGAGGACGGCTTCCCGACGATGCCGGCTCCGAACAAGCAAGGACTCCCGACCGTTCGAGCCCTTAGTTCTGCAGAGGCGGGAGCATGGTTGCGCGAGCTTCTTCCTTCACGTGAAGGAATGAAAACGACGTCGCACAGCTTGAAAGCCTCGTTGCTGTCATTTGCTGCGAAGCGCGGCATACCTCATCTAGATCGGCTTGCGCTAGGAGGTCATAGTCATAGTGCCCGGATGTCAGATGTTTACGCCAGAGATGCGCTAGCGAGGCCATTGAGGCTTCTGGCAGGTATGATTTCTGAAATACGGAGTGGATCGTTCGTCCCTGATGCCGGGCGTGCCGCTCGCTTCCCAGGACGGACTAACGAAGCGGACCTTTGTGCTGGTCCCGGAGGAATCTCAAGCGCCCGCTTTCGGGGCAGTGCAAGGTCTTCAGGCCGAGAGTGCACCGTCTGTGACGAGCGGGGGACATTCACCTCTTCTTAGTGTGCAGAGCAAGTTCTTGACCTTTCCAGCCACGGGTGAGGGCCTGCCTGCGTCGCCTCTCCGATTCGAGGAGGTCGCGGAAGCCGAGCCCCAACTTTCTTTCGGAGAACCTGCTTACCCCAGTTAAGCCTGAAGGTGTAGACGTGCTGTTTGCAACTGACAGTCCAATCAGCGTTCAGTCCAGTTTGCCACAATCGGAGGAGAGTGCTGGGCATTCCGTCTGTGCTAGCATCGACGAGGTCGACCCCGATGATGGCACATCCGCAGCTGGAGACACTTCTTCAGAAGAATCTTCCGAGGAGTCGTCCGATGATTCCAGTTCGGTTGCGAGGCCGGTCCCTCGCCTTTTGCATCCTCCTGCACCACCTGCGGGAACATACTTTGTGCAACACCCGAAGCTGAAAACCCTGCACCTGCTGTTAGATGGACACCGGGCCTACACGTTGTGCGGAAGATCCCTTCAGCAGGAGCAAAATCCGTTTGGGCCACCTGGCCCTCTTCGCTATGACACACCCGTTTGCAAACAATGCCGACGTGCCACTGCAAACCTGCTAGAATAGAAGTGACGTTGGCAGCCTCGGGGAAACAAGTGAGCCGCCTTGTTTGTGCAGATCTGAAGTAGTTGAGTGAGTATGGTGTGTGTACATGCGTTAACATACACCTGGATGTGCTCCACTCTTTGAGGTACTGTTCGCAGGATCAGGTAGGAGACACATGTTTCATGAGGGCTTGCGAGGTACAACGGACCGATCTGATGTTTTTAACACATGTCCATGATCGTGAGTGCGCTTCATGTCCCATTTGCATAGTAGAGGTCCTGGTAGGTTCGAGCTTCCTGAGTGCCATGTCCTTAGTTGATAGCGAGGCCTCGTTCAGGGCGCGTTGCCTTGAGGTCTGCGGAAGCTCCGAACTTTACGATCTGCTGGTTGATGCAGGGATCAAGACTCATTCGATCCTCGCTTTCAGCTGCGGAACTCCGACAGCCCAGCCGACAGATGTGGAGTTCGCCTCCTTCGCAAACACAGTCGTGAAGGGGCATGCAAGCATCGGCCAAGTCAGCGCCCTTAAGAGGCTTCATTTCGAGTCCTCAACGCTTGTGGTTGCTGCACGTCGTACCATGGTTGAAGGCGACACGGGTGATGCTTCCAAACGTTTACCCGTAGCAGAAAAAACGGCTCGACTTGCAGAGGCGAAGCGGCGCCTCCCAGGACTCGTGATAGAGGATGAGCTCGAGCCCAGTCATGCACTCTTGGATGTGATCTCACACATGGGTGAAGCAAACTCAGTCGTCTGGGTTCCTCCGTCAAAGTGTACCAAGAGGGATGCCGAGCTGAAGCTGGGGTTGAGGGATAATCAAAAATTCCTCACGGTTCAGGAACACGGTGTGACACTTGCTCCGGCCCCAGACAAGCTTGTCGCTGATCACGCGACCCCTTTAGAAGTACAATGGTGCCTGCAACGCAGAGGGATTGCATTCTTCATGTGCGGTTTCATGAGCTATGAAACTCATGATCGGTGGGTTTCGACTCTTTTGCGAGCACTGTCATCGGAGGTCCCACCAGGGTACGCTCCTATCTCGATCCAGCAGATGTTGCGTGCTGACTCCGAGATGTTTTTGTTGTTTGCGAAAGAAGTGAATCGAGTGAAGCCTACTAGCACTGGAGTCATGGAGATGGATGAAAAGATGAAGCTGTTCAGGCACGATCCCAGGATCACATCGTATCTGCAACCGTTGCAGAAAGCCACTGCCAGTGTCGTGCCGCCTCCTCAGCCGCCCCATGAATCAGCTACAGGTGCCCTGGCGCGCACTTCGAAGCGGCAGAAGAGGCGTGACGAGAGGTTGAAAGCTCCTGTCAGGGTTGACAACCTCCCAGAGGAGTTGAAGACGTGCCCCCACCATGCAGATGCAGCCGGCCATCGGTATTGCTGGTCTTTCAATTTGGCCAAGGGCTGTAATGCAGAATGCAAAGGAAACCCGCCGGCCTGCAACCGAGGAGTTCATGGCTGCATGACCTGTAGGCGCCTGGGTCACGGTACTTCCAGTTGCTGGTTCGCGCAGGGGGGCACGAAAGGCAAAGGCCGTGGGAAGAAGGGGAAGGCTAAGACTGAAGCCACCCCAAAAGAGTGACTAGGCCACTCACCCTCGCGCTCCTCTCCTGAAGGGACTCGTGAGCGTTCGCGAGGTCGTGACAATGCAAGTGCCGAATTTAAAGCTGTTTTCAGTGAGTTTCATGTGTTTACTCATGGGTGTTTTACTTTACCATGTTCCAAACACAACATTTCGGCCCAAGACACGCGTGCTTCAGCATAGCTTAAAGCTTCGCTCCATGCTTTAAAATTTTGAAACATGCAGCAGATTGCTTTTACTTTTCATGCACATGATTTACTTCAGCACGCGTCAGTTTTGCAGTTTTGTACAACATAGCTTCTTTGCGTCCTTTGATGGACTCGGAGGCTGACCCTGCTCCACAGTCGGCAGAGCTTCAACAAACTTTACAGTGGTTGGACCTCCCTGTCAGGCAATTTGACATTGCATTGTGCGAGGCAACTTTATCTGACAGGATCGCTGCATTGGAGGAGCAACTTTCCGCTCTCCAATCGTCGCGCCAAACCTCTTTGGCAAAGCTGGAAGAGTACCGCACTTACTTTGACAGTAGTCTTTGGAGCCTTTTTGAAGGCGCCAAGAAGCAGGCCAGCAAAGAGAGTGCAGCGATCCGTGAAGATTTCTTTGCTGCTTTACTTGAGCTACGCGAAGACACTCTCGAAGCTTTGGGCGGAGTACACGAAAGAGTAGATCATATTTTTCAACAACGATTGCCTGCTTTGCATACAGATATTGATATTCTGAGTGCTCGCCTTCAAATTCTTGAAGGCCAACCGGAGCGTACAGACGGTGATTCTTTTCTTGATTCACTTGATTGAGATATGGCAGATGCCTCCGATGATAGTCGCTTTCGTGTGAAACGTTACAGGCGACAACCGGAAGAGGCTTCTTTGCAAGACGCTCCTATGGAGCGGGAAGACGGTAAGGATGATTCTAGTCCTGCTTTGACACTTTCTTCAGGTGATGGTTCCTTTGCTGTGGTGGAGGCCACTTCGGCGTTTGATTTGCCGGTACCATCATCTTGGAACCCAGGTGCTCCTGCTTTACCTACGGTGCTTGTGGCACTGAAGTGGAAGCCTCGGCCTCGTCCACACTTTTTAGTGGTGGACAGGTCTTCTCCAGCGGCTACGGCGCCGTCTCGGGGTGATGTGCCCAAAGCTCGACCGGTTTTCTCTCAGCGTTCTGCTTTTACGCTGCGATCTTCACAGGACGCAAGGGACAGACCTGCTTTTCTTTCTGCTCGTGATTACGCGGTCTTCCCCTCAGAGTCCAGGCCTCCCTCGTCGGTCTCCTGCTTTTCAGGCACTGGGGACGAGGCTGGTGTTTCAGCTTTGAGTGACACTGCGGTGGACAACCTCATTCAGGCGGCAGATGCTTTTGCTTCTTCAGCTGAATTTGCATTTCCTCCAGAACCACCCACTGTGCTACCTGGCAAATTTGCTTTGCCAGCCCGGCCCGCAACCTCGACAGCACGGGTTACTTTGCAGAACGATGTGCATGCAAAGCTCCGCGCCAAGGGCATTCTTTTGTGGCGCCAGCTAGTTTTGCTCCTTGCGCCTTTGAGCGCTGCTTTGCAGGAAATTTTAGAGTCGGCGTCCTCAGAAGCTTTACTCGCTCAGCTGGTGGCGTCCGTGGCGGACACCACATTTGTCAGGTATGTGCAGAGTTGCCTGCAGTACTTTGCCTTGCTTCAGGATCTGGGCTTCGATGCCTCTCGGATCTTGCAGGTGCAAGCTTATGATGTTATGATACAGCTTTACCGGTCCCCTGAGGATGAAGAAGAAGTTCCCATGTCATGCTTCCCCCTCAATACGTTGAAGGCGCTGAGGTGGATGGTCAAGGTGGCCACCATTTCCTTTCCGGATCTTTACACAGGTCTTTTTCATTCGGTGGCGCACCAACGTAACGAAGCAGATCGCCGAGAGTCAGTGCCTTTGCCACTGGATTTTGTTGCTTACCTGGAGTTTTGCCTGCTTTCAAATACCTTTCCTGATTTGCAATTGAACATCGGGGCGCTCCTGGTTATGATTTGGGGCTCTCTGCGGTTCAGCGATGCCATGCATGTGAAGTGGGGCTCTTTACTTTACGAACAAGAGGTGGGCCGTGGAATTTCTTTCCGGACCAAGACCTCAGTGCGTGGTGCTCCCTTTGGGGTGGTAGGAGTGGGCCTGGTTGTTCCATGGTTCCAGCTATGGCTTGCTTTACTGAAAAATGAATGGTGTCGTATTGGGAAGGTGGCGGGCCCTGTGGAGCCAGATGCCTTACTTTTCCATGCGAGCGACGACGAGTTGTTCGTCCCCATGACATATGGGGAGGGCCTTGCTACTTTACGTCACCTTTTATCGCGTTGGAACAGGCTCTCAGATGCTCAGGTGCAGAATTATACTTTGCATAGCTGTAAAACCACGCTGTTATCATGGGCAAATCAACTTTGCATCAGCGAAGATCGGCGAGCTGTGCAAGGTCACCACAGGCATAGCAGCGCACGCCTCTACAGCAGAGATGATGTTTTCGGTGCGTTAACTTTACAGAAAGAACTTTTGCTTTCCATTCGACAAGGTTGGCGACCTTTGTGTCCTCAGCATCGCGGCGGACAAGTTCCTTTACAGGAACCGGCACTGGAATCTCGGTCTGTCAGCTTTGCCGATCCCTGCTTTGCGATTCCAGGGGGTCCACCGGCTTTTGAGCAGAACACTCAGCTTTGCCCCACCATCGATGTGGAAGCAGGTTTGGCAGGTGCTACTTCCCCGTTGGCATCGGACCCTGGTGCTGTTGTGGCCCCAGAGAAGGCAACCACACTTCCTTTGCACTCGTCAGGTGAGTCAGGCACTCCGGATGAGCTTCTTTTCATCATCACTGCCAAGACTATTCATAAGGCGGTGGTGTGCTCTGAGCTCGACCGTTGCACCACTTTCCAAGGAGTGCATCTGAAACCTGCCTGCGGGTGTATAGTCAGTGTCTTTCAAGTTGTGCATTTTGCACCCACAGGTAAGAAGCTTTGCAGACACAAGGCATGCTTGGAGCTTTGAGCTTTCGCGGGAAAATTTTTGTCAGGTGCAGGCAGGGAGTGCATGTGAGTGCAGTGCATATGCCTTCCCCTCTACTGTTCGCTACCAGCCTCGCCTGTCACAGCCTCGGCTCGCTTCCAGCTTTAGCGTATCGGAGCTCGGGGGACTCCCGACTACTTTGCGTACAAGGCCCCGCTGCACAACTGTTGTGACAAGTCAGCTTTTTCCAAGTGTGCTGTTACAGTACATGTGTAACACTGCAGTGCTTTGCGTGATTCCCGCGCCCACTTGGCGGCAGATGCGTGTCGAAAAGCTGATACATCTGCTTTGCGTCAACTTTAGCGTCCTGATGTGCGTCAAATTCTGCTTAGCGTACTGTTTGCGTCCTAATGTGCGCCTAGTGTGCGCTATTTGCGTCGCTTGCGTCTGCTTTGCGTCATCTTTGCGCCTTCGTGTGCGCCAACGGTATATGTGTTGCGTCGCCTTTGCGTCCTAATCGGCGCAGTGTTGCGTCCTAATGTGCGCCATTTGTGCGCTACTTGCGTCTTGAACAAGCGCGTGCGTTGCTTGCGTCATAACGGGTTATCAGACCCCGCTTCTTCTATATATATATATATATATATATATATATATATATTCGGCCTAATTGAGCCGAATTCGTGTCACACTTCGTCAGCTTTGCGTGCTTATCAGCGTAGTCACATGCCAACTTTGTGATTCAGCGTTGCAAGCAGCAGCACAGTCTCTTATGTGAAGCTTCGTGTGCTCCGTAGAGCTTTGCCCGAGCCTTTGCACGCGTTCCCTTCGCAAGCTTCCGCTTTTCTTTGCGTCATGGCACAGAGTGACTCCTTTCCGGAGAACTTTTTGGAGCTCTCGGCTTGGGATCTCTGGGATGCCTCGGAACGTTTCGCAGGGCGGGACGGTTATTCCCGTGAGCAGTGGTTCAGCTTCTGGCGTTCAGCTTTGCAAGATCAAGTGGATGCCTCGACCCAGGATCTCGCTTCTACTTTGCCTTGCACTACTACGACGGAGCCGGCACCCTCGGATGAACTTGATGGGGCTACTACGGAGGATACCTCTACTTTGCATACACCTGCAGAGGCTCCCCCATCTACTTTGCCAGCCTCGGAAGGCCCTGGCCACGAATGGGGCACAGAGGACTGGGTGCCGACTCCGGCGCCTTCCTGGGAGGAAGAACCGTGGGCCTCCTCAGAGCCCTGGGTCCCTAGCGACATTACCAGACACCTGGAGCGCTGGGACCCAAGCCCGGACACTACTACTTTGCAGACGGAATCCGAAGCTCCGGGCGAAACTTTGCCGTGCAGTGCACCGTGGATGCGGATCCACCCTCCACCCCGCCGGCAACTGAGGTGCTTTCCACTGATGAGCCGCCCTCTTCTTTGCCTACACCCACCACGGAGGAGGCTGAGGACTTCAACTATGTGCCGTGGAACTTTTCGCCTCTTTCGGAGGCAGAGTTGTGGCAGGCTACCTCATTCTTTGAGGATTGGATGGGGTACGATAGACAGCAGTGGTTGGAGTTTTGGCTTTCTTTGCGGGCATCCCAGATGGTGCAGCTGGCTCTACCTCGGCTACCCAGTCGGATCCTTTGCCTTCGACGACCTCTACCGACTCGTCCCCTCCTTTACGATCGTCGGCTACTTCGGGGACTACCCCAGCACAAGACGGTAGTTCTTTACCGCAAAGCTCAGAACCCACGGACGGTGCGGGTACCAGAACTTTACCGCACAACCAGCGTGTGTTTCGTACCGCGTGGGGCGAAACACAGTTGATCCAACGGGCAACGGTATTCTGGTGCCGAGAAGGTTGCACAAGCTGCTCAGGAGCAGGTACATGCGGTGCTACTTTGCTTGACCCTACTCATGCACATGTCCATCGCTGCAGACTCTGTTATGGAGAATACCGTCGACGTCAGGGGCGCAATACTTTCTGCAATGCGCACGGGCAGTAGCGTCATACTTTACCGCCAGACGCGTCCTTTACGGTGCTTTTTCTGGCGGTGAAGTTCTTAATTGCGTCAATGCTGGGTTCCCACAGCTGTTACTTTACTTTAGCGTTTGCTCACTATAGGTATGCTTTGCTCAGCCTCGCACGGGCCTCCGGCCTTTCGTTTGGGACCCAGCAGCACGCGTCATCGACTTCCTTTGCTCTTCGAGAAAAATTTCCGCTTGCCCTGTTGCACTTTTGCATATGTTCTTGCTTAACCTCTGTCACCAGCGTGCTTGTCAGGTTATGGATTCCTTATCCTCGAGATTCCGGCATCTGCAGCCTCTCTTGGTGATTTGACTTTGCTTTCGTTTGGCCTTGGCACCGTAAACCTGGAAGGTCTGGATGCTTTCCTGGCTTCCAAAGGCTGGTCACCTGATGCAGATGAACTCCCTGTCCTCAGGATGCTGTGGGTGCAGGCTCACAAGATATGCACTTTGCCGTCGGTGGCCTCAGATTCCTCTGCGAGTACTTTGCATACGTCTTGGGCGGAGACCTTTCCTCCCAAGCTCTCCTCGGAAACGACCTTGCAGTTGAAGCGGGATTTTGAGAAATCCTACCCATCCGAAATTCTCGATGACACCAACTTTCCGAGTGCGCGTTTGCTTTCTCTCGCTTACAGGCTTAAAGGCACGTCGGACTGGAAGTTCATATCCTGGAAACATAGACTTTCCAAACAACAAGAAGAGGATTACAACTCGTCCAGGCCCAGAAAGTTGGCGAGATTTGAGAACTTTACCGACGTCCTTTACGACGACGTGCCCTCTCGCAACGTTGCGGAGAACATGGGATTATATGGAATAAGCAATTTACTTTCCATACATTCCAACGCGCTCGCGCTTGCGGACATCGCTCATCTTGCTACTTTACGTTCCTATGAGCGCAAATTCTTGAAACATGTTCAGGCAAGACCAGGCCCAACTTTGCGTCCGCCCAATGCACAGGAGTGCGAAGCAGCAGATCGTCGATGTTGGGAAGTCGTTGGCCAACTTCGGCAGGAAGGCTGGTCGGTTGATGATGCTTTACATGAATTTACTGACGTTCGTGCCGAGCTGGTTGCTTTGCTTGCTCCTCGACTCGCTCCTTTCAAAGGCAAGAAAGGTGATGGAAAGGGTGGCAAGGAGGTCTGGAAGGGCCTTACCCCCAAAGGAGGCAAGTCCACAGGGGGCAAAGGCGGCACAACTCCAGGAAAGGGGAAATCTACCTTTACCAAAGGTACACATGCCTTTGAGTGGGCAAACAAAGCGAAGATCAATGGTGAGACCAAGGTGCTTTGCATGGCATACAGTACCCACAAAGGCTGCACTTCCAACAATTGCAAGTTTGAGCACCTTTGCCCCGTGATCCTGGAGAACGGCAAGATTTGCCTGCAGAAGCATCCGGCTTTTCAGCATGCACAAAAGGCAGGTGCATGAGGGGGACCGGGCCCGGACTATGCAGGCGAGGAAGGCCTGGTTCCAGTTGCTTTGCCTGCAGATGCTACAGGAGATTCTCCTTTTCCACAACCATGTGCTACTCCTCCGGAGCCTGTGGTACAGAGTGCTCCTCAGAACTTTGCATGCTCTGTCTCGGAACTCGACTCAGGCATTTTCCTGGACATCAACGGGGGGGCCCGGCGCCCTCTTTCAGCAGCATTTCTTGGAGCTGGCTGTGATACTTTCTCGGTCGCTCCCGAAATTTTCCCTGAACGTGACCTTCTACAAGATGCTTTCTTCTTTTCCTTGCTCAGGGTTTGTCACTCTGGGCAGGTTGCCCTTTTGCATGCACATCCTGCTCTGCGCCACTGATTTGACTTCGAATCTTTTCGATCGCATGATTCAGATAGCACATGCATGCTTTGCAGCGGGTTCTCACGTATTGCTTTCTCAGCACTCTGGTTCTTCAGTGTGGAGCCATGCTTCGGTGATTTTTCTTTTACAGCAGATGGGCGCAGATGCTATTTTCTGGGACCCCCAGCGGTTTGGTTGCGACTTCGAAGGCTTTGGTCTCCTGGCTGCGTCCTTTTCATCTTTGCAATTTTTAGCCACTGCTTCCTCGACGGGGTCTTCAATGCAGGCCCATCGGGAATTTGACTTTTCTTCTTTGAGCGCGGACTTTGTGCTCGCTGTGGCCGAGGGTTCCTTGCATCTTTTCGCTCAAAGAAGTCCGGAACCTAAAGATTTGCAGTTTGGCCAGATTCCTTTTCTGAGGCATGTGAAAGCGAGATTCGACCCACCCTTTGCCAACCAGGATGGTGCTGGGATCTACTCAGTGCCTGATTGGAGTACGCCTCCACCTGGGGTTCCGGATGTGCTTTGCGATCTCAGGTCCAAACTTCGGCAGTGGATCTTCGATGAAAAGATCCCTCAACGACTACAGGCCCATGCCCTGCAGCACAGCTCAGAGCCACTCTTTCAGGAGGGCGAGATTCAGCATCTCAGACAGCTTTTTCAGTCCTGGGTCTCAGAACAAGGATCGTCACATGTGATTGACTGGACGATTCCGGACCATCAACCTTACGCTTTGCATGCCTTGAAGTTCTTCTCACAGTTTGTCAAGGACAAGGATGATACCCTTTGCCAGTGCCTGCTTGATGGGGTTCCCACAGGATATGACAGTGACATCCCGCTCTCCAAGGTTTTCATACCGCATCCGACAGCACCGGAACTTGATCACCAGCTTTCCATTGCCAAGGACAACTGGCAAAGTGCCAATAATGATCCAGACACTTTGCGAGAGTTGGTGCATGCCGAGGTCCAGAAAGGATGGCTGTTTGAGATGCCTTCTTTACAGGCGGCACAGGAACGTTGGGGAGAGCGCGTTGCTGTAGGGAAAATGTCCCTCGTACTTTCTCCCCCGAGAGCTCCCAGGCTGGTGGTTGACTCCACCGTGTGTGGCACCAACGATGCATGCTCTATCCCTGAGCGCTACACTTTGCCAGGTCTACAAGATGTTCGAGATTGCTTTCCTTTGCGCCTTCATGCAGGCCTGTGTGAAGGCTTCCATCTCGACGTCAAGGCGGCGCATAAAACGGTTAGGGTCAAAGAGGCTGACCAGGGACTGCTCGGTGTCACTTTACCGGGTGGAGACGGTAAGGATGACAGACTTTTCTTTTACCGTGTTTGTCCATTCGGAGCAAATTTCTCTGCTTTGTGGTTTCAGCGACTGGCGGGCATGCTTTTACGACTCATGCATCTCTGGATCTTTGTGCGCCATGCTCTTATGGGCTACGTCGACGATTTTCTTTTCATCCAGGACCGAGAGTGCATCCTGTACTCTGCGTCACTCTTACTTTGCTTTACATCTATATTCGGAGTGCCTTTGAGCTGGGCCAAGTTACAATTGGGAAGTTGCATTACCTGGATTGGTTGGACATTCAACTTTACCAGCGGCTCTTTTCATATTCCGCAAGAAAAAGTTGATAAGCTTTTCAACTTGATCAAGGATGCTACACGGTCCAGAAGGGTTACCAGTGCTTTGCTCCACAAGTTGGTAGGACTACTACAGTGGTTTTGTCAGCTTTACAGATCTTGCAAACCCTGGCTGGCGTCCCTTTTCTCAGATCTACATCGGCATTTGGCTTCCCAGTATAGCATATCACAGGGGCTCTGGCCTTCTTTGGCTAACTACCTTGACGATGATCTTCGCTTTACATCCGTACCTCCGGGTACTCAAGTTCCGCTGGGAGGCAAATTACTGGAAGCACGACATACAGAACTGAAAACAAAGCAAGACCTTTGCAAGGTCCGTACCTCCAATCGGATCTGGATGCGGGTGACCAATCCCAAATCAGATCGGCGTTCTTTGTCACCAGCATCGCGGACCTTTCTTTCGTTCTGGAGAGAATGGTGTCGAAGACCTCAGCCTTATACGGCTCTTTCTGTTCCTTTGCGACTCCAGGTTGAGGCCTTTGCGGATGCAAGAGCTGATGGAGAGCTCATTGGGATTGGCGGTTTTATTGCCTTCCCGTCCGGTGCCTACATTTGGTTTTCTCAGGCCTGGCAGCTTTCTGATTTGTCGGTTTTGAGCTTGGAACTTCGCCGACCCGCACATAAGGACATTGCCTGCTATGAGACTTTGGCACAGATTGCTTTGGTACATGCTTACAGGTCAGTATTTCCTTCGGGTCGAGTGGCAGTTCGCCTCCCCTCCTTTTCCGACAACGCTTCGACAGAGGCCTTGGGGGCGAAGCTTTACACTGCCAAGTGGCCATTGGGAGCGTTTGCCCAGAAACTTTCCCTCATATCTGCAGCTTCGGGTATTGAGCTGGATATTTCTCACATCGCCGGTGAGAAAAATGATGATGCAGATCTGTTGAGCAGGTGGAATCAAACTGATTCTTTACCTGACAAATGGCGCAAAGAAGACCGAGTGGATTGCTCTCTCAAGTTTATCTGGTTCTTTCGCAAGGAGGTCCTGGTATGGCCTTCCCACTTTTCTTTACCAGCGGTGACACAGGAACGACATGTGTCAGACGATGACATATGACAGTGCCCGCAGGATCTTTGCCCGGGGCCTTTATGCTGCTGCTTTACGCCCGCAGGATTTTTGCCCGGGGTGCAGCATATGCTCCACCCGCAGGATGATTGCCCGGGGTGGCATGGTGCTGCTTTACGCCCGCAGGATTGTTGCCCGGGGTGCAGCGTTTCACTGAGCGAGCGCGTCAAACCCTCACTTTGAACGTTGGGGAACCATAGGGCGAGACTTTGGCTTTGCCGGTTAAACTGTGGGTCTAAACTCTCGTAGCTTCGTTGTAGCTTTTCTTTGCTTAGCTTCGGCTTGCAGCTTCAACTTACTTCTCGCGTTTCCGGCAAAGTCAAAAGGTCTCTCTGCTTAGCTTTGCTCTGTAGCTCGTAGCGTGTCTTGGGTTAGGTAAAGTTGAACGTTTCATGTGTTTACTCATGGGTGTTTTACTTTACCATGTTCCAAACACAACATTTCGGCCCAAGACACGCGTGCTTCAGCATAGCTTAAAGCTTCGCTCCATGCTTTAAAATTTTGGCCCACCCGCCCTACCCTTTGTGATGTTATATCTTAGCTTTTTCATAGCTGTGTATACTTTTCGCACTTTTGTTGCTTTACTCTGGGCGAGGGGGGTCTAAACTCTCGTAGCTTCGTTGTAGCTTTTCTTTGCTTAGCTTTGGCTTGCAGCTTCAACTTACTTCTCGCGTTTCCGGCAAAGTCAAAAGGTCTCTCTGCTTAGCTTTGCTCTGTAGCTCGTAGCGTGTCTTGGGTTAGGTAAAGTTGAACTCGTCCGTTCCGCCTTCCTGGCGGACCCAGTGTCACCAATCCTCCCCTTTCCAGATCAGATGCCAGTCACGACGTGAGCACTCCTCCTCGTGGCTCGGTAAGTTCAAAGATGAATTTCACATTATCGAACAATATCTTGAATGAAGCTTTTGCCTGCGGCGACTCCGCGGGAGAACAGCTCGCTTACGAATGCTTGACAAAAGGTTCCTGTAACGAAGACCAGCTGCTGGAGCTATCGTGCCTACTTCCAACTGAAGTGCAGGCGCGATCCGACCATAGCACCGTGGATGAACGGTCGTTCACAACTGGAGCCTACTGTCACGGGCCCATGTCTGGCCTGCGGAACACTGTCAGGTCTTTTCCAGCTGCCTCTTGCCTGCTGGCAAGCTTGGCACAGTGTCTATTTCCGCAGCACACTTTCAGCTCCGTGGGATTGTTTCTCAATGTCAAGACACGCCGTCATAAAGACTCCAGAAACATGCAGGGCTCTTTGAACGGCGTTGCCCCCCTTTGCGCGTTCAAAGGAGGTGGCATCAGAGTACACTCGAACGGCAAGTCATCTGACCTGCCTGTGTCTGATGGGCCAGTTCTCTTCGATGCCTTCGAAGAGCATGAAACCCTTGACTGGATGGGTGGTCCTAGACTCGTGCTGGTTGCTTTCACGGTGTCACGCTTGCCCAGCTTGAGCGAGCCCGATATTGAACTTTTGAGACAGTTAGGTTTTAAGTTGCCCAAGCTTCCGCCCGCCAATTTCGCTAAAGCTGTGCCCCACACGTCGCATACGACGTCAGCCGACCATACCGCACCATCCGGCATTATGCTTGATGTGTTCGCGGGTGATGCAAGCTTCAGCAAGGCTGCTCAGAAAGCGGGCTATCAAGCCTTGGCGTTTGACATAAACCCTAAACGTGCTCAATTCCCGATTCAACCCTTGAACCCCACCAGAGCGACAGATTCTGCTGGACTTGATCTCTGAGCATGCAAGCAGCCTGATCGTGGTTCAGTGCACCATCCCTTTGCTGGGTGCCTTCTTTTCTCCCGAACGCGGTTCTCCCGGGTTCGCCGACTTGTTGGTTCGCAGCATTCTCGTCGTTCTACATCATTGCATTTCTCTTCAGGTGCCGGTCGCAGTGCTACACCCCGCAACCTCGCAATTCTGGGATCACCCTAGCATGCTTGGTTTCTGGAAGTCTGCTCAGGGCCATTGGACTACATTCGACCAATGCATGCATGGAGGTTCGCAGGACCGCCGAGCGCACTGGTGGGCAACCACACCGCTTTTTGTGACTATTTCGGCCATGTGCTCTAAGGACCATCGACACTTCTCACAGCCGCCCACTGCTTCGACGTGGCCAACTCTGTTGTGGCTTCGAGCTGTCGAACTTTTTAGTAATGACTCTAGTAAGCCCTCGCGTAATCCTTCGCTTTTTGGGCCTCCTGGTCTGGCTCTTAGACCTGCACTTGGCAAACAATCAAAAATGGCCAGACCTCTAGTCAGCGAGTTTCGCTCATACGATGCGTGGGCTGTGCCTTTGCATGCCGACCTCGAAAATCTCCTCAGCTGCTACCCCAAAGGTGCACGTGTCGTTAGGCGCAAACTTTCCGTTTGGGGTTGCATTAGGGTTTGCGCGATCCCGTCAACAGACCACTGCAAACCTGCCTCAGGATTGCACTGCACCTGGACGTGGGCCACGAACCAGCTTCCGACCACGTCGCAGTCAGGGAATGAGATCATGACGGACGTGTGCGGTACTTGTGTGCCTCACAGCTTGAGAAGGGAAGACTGCATTGAGGTCATTTGGCTAGGAATACCTCGTGAGCCTGACGACTTCCTGGCCAAGGCCGTTCTGGCAGGCCACCCTAAAGCTTTGTTGGACTCCGAGCTACTAGCTTCACCATGCGTCGGGGTCGGCACTGGTTTGGGTGCTAATCTATGATTCTGAAACCAGTATCGCTCTGATACATCTGATGCTCTTGTTTCTCGCCACAATAATGCCGGTTCTAGTGTGTTTCAAAGTTTTCGATGGGAGAGAGTGTTGTTGCGACAAAATGTTGGCGGTCCCAAGCAATTCTCTGCACGCCTCACGCGAATGTTTTCGCTGCGGTGCATTCACGTGTTTTTCCAAGTTGTTTTTCTTTGATTCACAGCATTGCACATCATGTCACGACATGAAGAGAGTACCTGCTTGGTTCTGCATGCTTGATGAAGTACCGTTTCAGTGTGCCGTTGCGTACGAAAGCACCAACCAACAACAGAACATTGCTCATTTAGCTCCGAAACACGAAATCTCGAAACCTCGAACCCTCAATTCCTTACTCATTCTTTGCACAAACCGTAAGAAGTCAGATTGCTGCGTCGCATGTTATAGCTCCTCATGTTCGCGGTGTGGCTGCATGGATACCCAGACTCGACAGGGCAATCTACCGGCAATGTTCCCCATGTTGTTTGCCGGAGCGACACTGCAGATGCAGCTGTGCCGAAAAGATTGCGGACCCAGCTGAAGCTGCCCCAGCCTGACTGGTATTCTTGCAAAGTAGCCAGAGCAGCAGCTGGTGCAGGCGTTTTTGCACAGGGCCCAAATCCTCGTTCTTCAGGCGGTTGCATGGTGCAGGCTTTGGCAAAAGTTCATGTGGGCACTGTTTGGCAAAGCGAGTTGACGCGCTTGAATGAAGAAGAGCTGCTGGGGTTTGAGTATTTTCAGAACCCAACCGATTATTTCAGCTTACGTATCGCAGAAGTGCTTCCGGTTCAGCAAGGCTTCGCGTTGACATCTTCCAAATCTTTCGTGCTGCAGCGCCGGGCTGGTGTTGTGCAATTTAAAGATCCATCCACGTTCTCGGTGCAGCTAGCAAGCTTGACAGTGCCATTTTGGCCATACTTGCCGGGTGTGGATTTGTCCAGAGTTGCACTTGCATCAGCAGGGCAGACTGTGTCTGCTGGACATGTGCTGGCCAATGTTTGGGGCTTGAATGCGGGGAAGGCAGATGCCGAGTCTTGCTTAGTAGTTCCATTGCCGGAGGCATTGTTGCAGATGGTTCTGCACGGTGAGTGGAAATACATTCCGTTCCTTGGTCGCTGGCACGCTTTGCTGTCAAATCTTCCCGAGGCTATTCAAACTTCAGTGGGTGTGTCAGGGCATGACCCTCCTGACCCGCAAGATGGACGAATTTCGCAAGCGAAGCTTTTGGATTTGATGAAGAAATTGCAGTGCTGGGCCCCGGTTTTGCTTCGAGACGATGTTGATGATCAGCGAAAGCTTGAACTTGTGGGGGCTATTCGTTGGCTGGCCAACGTTCGGGCTGCTTTGCCTGGCGACCACCTGGCCATCTCACGGCCGAAGCTTCTCTATGGTTCCTTGTTCTTGGTGCGGTGCATGCTGATGACAAGATTGATGCCGTCGTATATTAACTTGAAAGAGGTTGCTCTGGGATCTTTGCAGTTGCTTTTTCCCAACCTTTTGAAGGATTCGCTAGAGCATCTGTGGAACAGCAAGCATTTGTTTCCAGGAGAAGGCAGCAAACACAAGATGCGCCTTGCTTTGGATGTCGCGCTGTTGCTCTGGAAGCGCACGAAAGAACAGGGTGAAGGACCATTCGTGCGATTTGCCGGAGCCGATTCGAGTCCCCAGCACGGCGTGAACTGGCTCTTGTCATCCAGTCTTAGTGTGCGAGCCGATAGGATGATTGAGGTTTTTCGTGTAGTCCAACGCTTGATCGCAGAGGGAGAACGCAGGGCGCTGAATAGTGATCATGAGCTAGAGCTTCCATCCGAACAGAGCCGGTCTGATCATGCGTTTCTGCTGGCCAATGTCAGGTCGGAGCATGATATGCCCGTGGCTTTAGGGAGCGGGGCTGAAGGCACAGCTCATAAGTGTGCAGGCATGCTGCATAAGTGGGCACTTCTTGTCGGACACAGCGACCGCTTGCAAGAGCATTGTGACTCCTTCTTCTCTTTTTGCAGTGACATGGGTGCTGAGCTCGGCGTCGGGCATTTCCGGGTGGACGGCTTGAAAAGCTTAGTGCCAAGTTGGGTGCAGCATGAACCAATGCAATGTGACTTGCCAGAAGCTTGTGCACTGCCAGGCGCTATGGCCCCAGCATCAGCCGGTTTGCAAGCTGACTTTGTGATGGACCTCGAGAGCCCAGTGCCTGCAGGACCTGCAGGTGCAGTCCCTGTCCCTGCCGTCCCAGAAGACAGGTCCTCGCAGAATGAAGGCCAGGACAACCAGGCATGGCCGCCTCCCGCAGATGCCAGTGATGTTATGTTCCTGCGTAATGCCATGTCTGTGCCAGGGTTGCTTCACATCGTCAACAATGCACTATTGGAAGTTTCGAGTAAGCTTTCTCATTTCGATGCATTCTTCCAGCAGTTGCAGGAGTTTGAAGGCTTGGTTACTTGTGGTCGCCTGTCGCGTTTCGTGAACTACTGTGTGAAGCCTTCACCGCTGGCTTTGCAAGCAGATGAGCTGCTTCAGCGCAAGTTCGGTAGGCTGTACCTGAAACGGTGGGGTGAGGTGGTGAACTTCTGCAAGCGTCTTGCCCCATTTCTCCAGCTCATACGATGCTGTTGGAATGAACGTTCATATCGTGGCAATGTGCATGGAGATGAGGACGATGATGCCGGTGAGCAGAGGGGAAGCGAGACCCGATTCAGCCCAGAACGGTTTAGTGCTGTTCTTAAGGATCCAGTGTTTTTCGGGTATTTCGACATGATTCTCATGCTTAGCGGTTGCATTGAGCAAGTCTCACAATGGGCAGAAAGTTGTCCGTGCCATCAGGACCTGCAGTTATCTTCGGGTTTCCGGCGATTCGAGAACAGGGGCCGTTATGAAGCAGAAACAAACTTCCGCAGAGCACGCCGGCAGTTACGGGCCTTTTTTGCAAGCCAGGCGGAAACTTGTGTTATGAGGGGTAAACGATTACCTGAGCTTGTGGCTGACGGACTTCAGCTAGTCTTAGCAAACTTCAGTGACCTGGCGCTGACAGGGCTGATGCAAGAACATAGACCCCATATCTCTGATGCAGACTGGGCTACCCTGGTTGCCGACTTCGAGCATGGTAGGAGCCATGCTGAGCTAGAATTTTCCTTGAAACTCGACTGGACTCGGCGATTGCCGTGGAAACTGGCCTTGCTGGGGCACCGGGATGTGGCAAAAGCTAGGCGGGAATTGCGCTTGGTGATTCAGGAATTCGATTCCCAGATCCCAGAACTTCAGCTCCACCATCACAGCCTGACCCGTCACTTGCTGTTGAAGTCTGGCAACATGCGCAGAGATATCGATATGTTTCTTGCAGGACGTTCTTTGCAGCAGCTTCCACGTTTGGAATTCGTAGCCGCGTGCTTCCGATTGGTTCAGATTACTGAACGATCTTTCGAAGCTGCTCACTCAATTGTCAAACGCAAAGTTCCGCCAAATGCTGCCGGGCCTGTTGTCAGTTTGTCACTGAGGCTTCATGATCTCGCTCGTGCGATCAAACTCGAGCCGTCTGTGTTAGGTGATGTTGCAGCACAGTTTGCACAAGCTCGGCGGGTCAAATGCATTCTTGGCCTCATGGGCTTAGCTGCTCATCCGGATCTTGTGTTGTGCAGGGCAGAGACTTGGAAACTTGTCAAAGTCTTGAACAAGGTATTGTATCGGTCCGATGTGTCAGGTCAGTTCCCAGAGCTTCGTCACGTAGAAGCCTGGCATAAGCGCGACAAAGACAAGCAGCAAAGACAAGCAGACAAGTTGCTGCCAAAAGAAACTTTGTCGGTGACGTACGAGAATCTAAGGGCCAAGGCTTTGCACTCCCATTTTTTGGCAGTCGCCGAGGCATCTCCCGATGCGATGTTCGCATTGCCCTGCGAGGCTTTGAAAGGAAGTGAGGTGGGTGAGGTGGGAGGTGAGAGAAGAAGCGCTTCTCTCCTGCGTGATGTGCATGCACGCTTGACCATGTCGGACACAACCTCAGCAGCTGCTGCAGGTGGTGGCTTGAGTGACTTGAGTGGGTTCACGAGCGATTTAGCATTGGATTCGCCTTCGCTGCCGCCCGAGCCTAGGCCATCAAGTGGCAGTGGGCTCGAAGCCAGACCCCACATGCCCGGGCCGCCCGGGCCCGCACTCCAGGGTCGCGAGTATTGCTATTTCAAAGTGCTGCACGCAAATCCCAGTCGGCGCAAAACCATGACCTTGTCGGCCGCTGCTGCTGGCCAACGTGGCCGGCTTCATGCAAACGACGTTGCTGTAAGTGTCCATGAGGAATGTCCGTTACAGGATCCCGATTCTCCATGTTTGTCGTTGGCCCCGCAGGTCACTGAAGGAGGTTCAACAGCACAGGTTCTTGCGAACTTGCCCCAGTTCATGTTGTTCGACGATATGCGCCAGGGTCTGCTTTGTAGCCGTAGCCCGGCCGCCGAGCCTTCATCGGATGCAAAGCTGCTTTACAGCTTTGCTCAGCAGGGTGTGGTAGAGAGCCTTGACTTCCGGAACGTGTCCAAGATTGCCACAAGCCTTGTCGGGAAGGAAGCCTTCCCCGGTGCACCTGTTTGGGTTAATCTCCCTGCCTCCCCTGACTTGCGAGCGTTGGTTCAGGCCGACTTGCTTCAAGTGCGCCCAGGCCAACCCGAGAACTACCAGTTGACAGGGCAAGGCTTGGCGGCATTGACCATGTTCAAGTCGTTTGGTCAGTTTGCAGCAGTGAGTGATATCACACATGATCTGATAGAGCTGCCGGCCCCGACTAGCCATGAGCTTTTACAGTTGCTAGAAGAGCAGGGGTGGTCTTGGGAACGATTGCCCCAAAAACGCAGAGGTGCACCGCCCTTATCTTATGAAATTGGCCTGTCCCCCAAAGTCTTTCGCACATCCAGCGTGGCTGTCTTACCTGAGTACTTGCGGTGTCTTGTTGGGGCAGAGGATCTGCAGACAAAGTATGGTGTCCAGCGCATTCCGCACGGTCTCTCAGGTCACACTTATGCACAGCTGTTGCAGGGACACGTGCAACAGGCAGTTCCGCTTCCTGCTCCAGTGGCCCCTCTGGCTCTGGAGCATGACCTTGCCTTGCCTGACCGGCCTGACCAAGAGACCGTCCCGGTCCCTCCCCGGCCCCGGCCAGAGAGGCGTGCCAGGAAACGCAAGCAGCTAGCACGGCAGGAGGAAATCATGGGGTCCGAATGCGAGCTCTCACCAGCTCAGAGTGCCAGCAGTAGCGACGGTGAGAGCATCTTGCAGGATCTTCTGGAGGCCATGCGCCGGGATGTCCCAAACTCTCCCGTGACACCGGGGGCTCCGAGTCGCATTGATGATGAGCAGAGTGCAAGGCCTGCAGTTCGGAACAATGAGGACGAGGACCTCCGTGGTGGTGACTTCGACCCAAACCCTGAGCCTGGGACTGATGCTGATGCAGCACCCTCAGAATTGCCAGCTTTGGCAAGGGCAAGTGCATCCAGACCTGATCCTGAGAGAATAGAAGCGTCTGCTGCAGATGGGTCGCAGTTCTCTTGGGCAACGTTCAGGTATGGAGCTTTCAGGTTCACAGCCAAGAGACCGAAGACTCATGCGCAGTGGTCCTGGCAGGCCGCGTGCCCTTTCCACGCGAAGAATTCGCAGACAGGTTGCAAGAAGACCATGAATGTGAATCCTCTCACTCAGGAGAGGTACGATCAGGTTCTTGCAAGCCTGAAACACTGGTGCAACGAGGCTCGGAAGTTCACCAGGCAGCGGCATCATGTTGGGTTCAGTGTTGGGATTGGTGATCATCCACCACTCAGCGTGATAGAATCACGCGTGATCCCAGCAGCCGAAGCACCAGAGCGGGTGGTCAACGATGAGGATTTGGACGCTCAGGCTGCAGCGGCAACGGCAGCAGCAGCACCCAAGGGGCAAGCCAAGGCCAAGGCTAAGTCCACGGCGGCCAATAAGGCCAAGGCTCGAGCTACTCCAAAAGTGGTGCCCAAATCCAAATCTGAGGGCCGTGGCGGCCGTGGTCGTGCCAGATCTCGCGGCATGGGTCGTGGTGCCCTGACAGAGCCTCCCGGGGACGAAGCAGCCTCCGATCCAACTTCGTCGGGCAGCTCAAATGCAGATGCACCTTCCGCAGATTCAGATTCGAGCTCTGAGTCTGAGTCTGAGTCAAGTTCCGGCAGCGCGTCGGGGTCGGAGTGAAGTTGGTGAAGTTCCAGCAGCACAGTCGGATTCAGGTTGATGCTGATGCAACAAGTTGCAAAAGGGTGTTTTTGCAATCCAGTGTGAGAATCTCTACAAGTCAGCAAGAGTTGTTTGTTGTTCGGCCGCAACAAGCACTGACAAGCACTGCCCGCAGCCGCAGCCATTTTCGTTTCAGTGTGTGTTTCAGTTGCAGTTGCAGTGTTCCAATCATACTGCATAGTTTCATAAGATCAACAGCTCAGAGATCTGCTCCGGATTGGGTGTGCCAGTGTTCAGAACGCAGAAGCTTTTCGGGATGTGCGCGGGGCAACCGGGCAACCTGTCTTGCAGACTTGCATCGCTCTCTCTCTCGCTCTCTCTCTCTCTCTCTCTCTCTCTCTCTCTCTCTCTCTCTCTCTCTCTCTCTCTCTCTCTCTCTCTCTCTCTCTCTCTCTCTCTCTCTCTCTCTCTCTCTCTCTCTCTCTCTACTTGAAGCCTTGTTCGCCCGGCGTGCATTGCCTTGGAAACACAGGCTGGCAATGATAAGGTCGGAGCAGGTAGACTAGGAGATGAACTGCGCATAGATTGGGTAGCTTGGCCTGTGCAATTTTCCGATTGTCGTTCGCGGAGATTGATCCTGATTCGTCTGATCATGATCATGTGTTGCAGGCTGTGCGGGCTCTTGACTCGTCAGGCCGGGGTCCGAAGCTCCCCACATCTTCTAGTTGTTGCCAGCCGCCGAAGTTTCAGAGATCAGAGTATGGAATTTTGACAGGTGTAGATGTGTGGATAAGCCCAAGAGGTTGATTGGCATTTTGCTGGTATTTGTGGATCACTCTCCTTCCTGTCTTTCTTTGTGCGGGGTTTGTCGCCTGAGCTCGCTAAACCCTAAACTAAACCCTAAACCCTAAAGCGCCCAAACCAAACTCCTCCTCCGACTCGCTCTGCTCGCAGGCTGGATGGAGGATATCAGCGATCCGCGGAATGCCGGGGCCTGATTGCTTGCATATTTCACAACTCACAACATGAGTCTGATCGTTCGGCGTGCCTGGTTTTCGCTTGAAATGCAGCACTGGCAAGCGGTCGTTCAGGATTCGCCATGCGTAGCGAGAGTGCCTTGCGACTTGCGCCCCTCGCTTTGCCCAGGCCTGGGGCCTGGACCGTCCTGGGCCATCTTGCGCGGCACTCCTCAGAAGGGTTTTTTGTTGGGTTTGTTTTCGGATTTTCGTGGGGTTGGGGTTCTGATTCCGAGTGCGCGCAGGAGTGCCTGTTTCTGCCACCCCACCCCCCGGTAAACCTAGAGTGCCCTGCGTACCCGAACCCACCCGGGAACCCCGGGCCCCGCTTCGCTCCCAGGTGCCATCGTGCGACAGCTTCAGATGCAGATCCAGATCCATGCCAGCAAATGCCAGAGCCCAATCCTCGTTTTGCGCACCGAGTCCCTAACCTCTTTCCTTCGGCGCTCGCGGCTCGTGTGTGCACACGTATGCAAACATACGCAACCCTAGAGGTTCATGATCGATGCGGTGACCCCATGCCCGAGCCTCTTTCTGCCGGGCCCTCAGAGTGCTTGCCGGTTTTTTTAGTTTCGGATTTCGGAAGGGTTGGGGTTTTGTGGTTTGTTTTGCTTCTGTGTGTCTGTGCAAGCGCTGGAGTGCCTCGCTGCTGCCCCACCCGCCGCCTTCGTGTAACTAGAGTGCCTTGCGTCCCCACCTCTGTTCCCGGGAACGGGCCTCTCTCCTGTGCCCAGGTCTTTGCCGTCCTCGTCATCTCGCTTCGCGTGGCTCCTGAAGGGTTTGCGGTTCAGGGTTTTTTCGGACTTGGGTTGGGTTCCTTTGGAGGTTCTTGCGCTGTCTGTCCCCCTCCCTCCGCCCCCTGTCGTAACTAGGAGTGCCCTGCGGCCCTTTCCGGGATCCCCGACCCCTTCGCTCCTTTTGCAGGCTTGACCTCTTCGATCGATCACCAGCTGGAGCTGCGCCCGAAGCCCTGAGTGAAGCCGATGGAGTTGCGGTTTTTGGGTTCGGGGTTCGGGGTTTAGACTTGGCTGCCGCTTCGGAACGTTCGCCTTCTGGGTTGCATCAGGCTCTGCCTTGTTATCTTCCAGTCTGTTATGCCCTTAGATGTCCTGGGCTGCACACACGCTATGCTGATGCGCTCAAGGAGTTTGCAATCTTGCCTGAAGTGGCCGGGTAGTCTTTTCAGAATGCATCGTGATAGGGTTAGGTCATGGCAATGATTGATCTTCAATCCTGCTGATTACGTCCCGGCCCTTTGTGCACCCCGCCCGTCGCTCCTACTGATTGCGAGTGATCCGGTGAATTTTCATGGAGCTGCCGAAACAGCCGCCACGTGAGCTGGGGCCGGATGAAGCCCTCGTTGCGGTTGAGATGCACGACGACGTCGTTCTCGAGATAGTGGTTTGCGAATCCTGGTTTTTGGCACTTAGCAACGATGAGTAACTTGGTACTAACTTGGCAATGTTGTGGCTAAGGATAACGCTTAACAATCGAAATTAGATCCCTCGGAGCCAAGCCCAGTCCCAGGCAGACGATGTTTGCTGTGAAGTGCCAGGAGGCGTACAAGCGCGGAGATTTCAGCATCCCGGCTTCATTCATGCTTACTGCTTAGCAGGGCTTTGTTTCGGTTGGTACGATTGGGCTAGACTTGGCTAAACACTAAATAATCCTTAACCGCATTGTTTGGGGTTCATAACTTTTCCCCAGACACTTACTTAATTCGAAACCGCATTACCGTCATTAACCGCATGGTTGCAGGAGCGATGCCGGGAGGAGAGCCGCGACTCGCGGTGAGCTTTTGCGAGTGCGTCCGGGAGCCGCCTCATGAGACGGCTGAGACAGCGGATGAGCCGAGTGGCAGCGGCAGTGGTGGCGTGGCGAGTGGCAGCGGCAGTGGTGGTGCTGATGGCTCGGCTGGTCTGGAGTCCTTGGACTGAGGAGCTGAGGGTGGGCCACCGAAGGGATAGATGGAACATGCACAAAATCAGTGCACTGCAGAACACCTTACACAGCACGCAGCACTCACACTCGATCATAGCCAACAGATGCGTTTAGTCAGGGCAGCAGGTAGCAGTGCGCATGGGCAGGGACGGTCTTTTGCTTGCGCTTGACAGTCATAGTCAAATCATTCAAGATGGCATTCCTTAGGCGTAGGCCAGGATAAAATGCTTTAAAGGCCCTGTCCGCCTGACTGTGTCACAGATCGGCATCGAGATTTTTTGATGGAAAAGAAATGAGTGCTGTCCCCTGCCTTTCTGCCTTGCAAGTGACTTGCCCACCCGAACCGGACCCCTCATTGCTTCACTGTGTGTTGCACATTTGGATCGATTAAAAGTGGGCCGCGCATTGCTTGGCATGCTCCCCCGAAACCCCTTTGAGCCCTGCTGCTTGTGTTGGAAGCCCTCCTCGTCGCCCAGGTCCGATCTTGGTGTCGGGATGCTCAGGTGCGGGGTTTTTCGGGATTATGGAGGTGCTGGGATTTTGCGACTTTGTCGTGCATTCGAGGGTCCTGCACCGTCCCCAAATCCAACCCTGGTGCTCTGCGGGCTCTCGCCTCTAGGTTTGGAGTTTTGGAGCTCATCGCCGGGGGCGCTGCGCTGCTGCTGAGGACGGCGTCTGAAGCTCATGAGCTTCGGAGTGGGTTCTAGGTTGTGTGGTTTCCTTCGACGTCAGCTCATCTGTGATCATCCTCTCTCTTGTTTCGCTGAAGTCGCAAAGCTTTGGGTTCCCGAGCCATCCCAGGACAGATGTCGTGACTCAAGATTCATTTGCTGGTGCCGGAGTCCCCAGCTTGATTCGCAGACAGCCACGATGTTGTTGTCATTTGTGCTGTAGGATGCTGAATCCTGCTTTTAGCGAAGTGTTTCAGAAATTGTGTCCGATTTGCTGAAGAACTTGGTGCTACATAGAGGTGTGTGTGTGTGTGTGTGTGTGCCACATGGTGCTGAAAATAGTCTCCTGGCACTTTGCTGCAAAGGCCTGGAGTGTGGAAGCTGCTCTGCAGCCTCGGCGTTTTTGCTGGAGCCCAAAAGAAAGCTCACTTTCGGCTGCCGCAAGGTTCTCTTGTTTCTGAGTGAGCTCTGAAGTTGAAGAGCGGCGAGAGTGACAGCCCTTCTGAGCCGCCACGGGCTGAGGTGATCCACGGGTGCGGAGCCTCCGAGCCGACGTGTGTCGCTCTAAATTCTCTAAATCGGCTTGATTCGCCTTAGTTCAGCTTGAATCGCTTCCCGTCATAGCAAATCAGCCATAAACAGCCCGAATCAGCTCGAAACCGCATCAGAACAGCATGTTTCGGGTAGGATCTTCTGAAATCCATTGCGAAAGCCAGTTGTTCCTAAAAAACATGACAGAAGCATCATGATCTTGGTTGCCCAGCCCCAAACAGGACTTAAACGCGATGCCCAGGCCAACAGAGGAGAGAGCAGGGAACACCACAGTCATGGGAGAGGAGCGCGTAGGTAGCGCGCAGGTAGCGCGCGGGTAGCGCGCGGGTAGCGCGCGGGGTGCATCTGGGTCGCGCGCGGGTTGCGCGCGGGTCGCGCGCGGGTTGCGCGCGGGTTGCATGCAGCACGCGTGGGTTGCGCGCGGGTTGCGCGCGGGTTGCGCGCGGGTTGCGCGCGGGATGCGCGCGGGATGCGCGCGCTCTGCTCGGATGGGAGTCGGCGGAGTCGTGGCCTGCATGTGGCGAGAACAAAGAAATGGCTCATATTGCAAGGTCCGAGGTTCTCGAAGTCTCTTTGTGCTGAATCATGAGGTTTTCACCTAACTTCGTTGCAGATTGATGTGTTTGGAGTGTAATGCAAGGGTTCCGGTTCAATTTTGAAGCATGTTTCGCAACTTCGTGCGGAAATCTAGGGTTTCAGAGATTTCAGGGCGATCTGGCGGGTTTCTGGATCGAAAATGAAGAACTTATAGGGTGTATCGGTGTATCGTGCTGAGTTCGTATTGATCTTGCTGTGTCAAGGAGAGACGGAGAGAGACATAGGGACAGAGAAAGAGAGAGACACGGCTGTGTGACAGTGACTGACAGTGGGACCGCGAGCATTGGCGAGCATCACATGCCAAGACGATGCACTTGCTAGCCTGGCTGCGCTTTTACATGTGGCTCGACTGGAGGTCTTGATCTTTCATCGATAGCAGATAGCAACCTGCGACTTCCGTTCTGTGCTGCCATGCAGAGGGGTTTCCTGCTAGCTGCTGCAGAGAAGAAAGAGAAGAAGAAGAAAAGTGAGAAGGAAGCCAGCGAGAAGAAGTCCGAATCCGAGAAGCCGAAAGCCTCCAACGAGGGCGTGCACCTGACATCTTCGGTGGGCTATCGTGTCGAGAAGGACCCGAACATGCCGGGCATCCAGATGCTGAAGTTCGACTCGGATGCTGATGTGGATCTGAGAAGCGTCGACGGGATGCTGCAAGTTTTTGCGAAGGCCTCGAAGTGAAGCAAGGGGCATTCGTGGAAAGTCCCATGGTGCGAACTTTTCGGCACCTTGGGCATTTTGAGCTTTGGTCGTAGCGGCATCAGCGAAGCTGTTCCAGAAACAGTATGTTTGCACTAAGCAGCGGCTCTCTGATCTTGCCTGCGACACGACAGCTGTTAGTCGCTAGTCGAAGGACAGCTGGGGGGCATTATTGGCTCGAGTGGCTCAAGTTGACTCATGTTACGAGGTGGGCCTTTTCATGAAACCATTGGGCATTCCTTGCTTTCCCAAGGCACAACTTCAACAGTACAGACCCAGGCCTCGACCTTTTTGCAGACCAAGCCTTTCATTGTTAGATCCACATGAAGCGTGCGCGCTCTGTGGGTGGTTGCAGCTCCGATGAAGATCATGAGGGTGAGGGCAGTGTGCCGCTCGAGCAGGAGTCCTACGATGGCGATCCCCTCGAAGCTTCCGAGAGCGAGGGCAAAGTAGAGCAGACAGAGGAGTCAGATGAAGATGAGCCAAAGGGTCCAACGTCTTATGAAGACATTTTTCTGTGGCCTCAGCGTTTGTTGCAAAACCTGCGCTCGTGCCAACTGGCCGATGGTTGCTCTTGTGCGCAGGTGCTGCAGGACAACTTGCGTGCCTGTGGCAAGGTAGTGTTGACAACTTCGTGCTCAGGCATAGGGTCAGCAGAAGTGGCGGCGAGCATGATCGCCCAGCAACTGCAGGCAGACAGCCTGTGGCCCAGGGACAACTGGCAGGTTCACTCCGTCTGCGAGAAAGAGCCGTCCTGTCGCAAGGTGTTGATGGCACATTCCGGCCCTTGTCATGCAGATCACATGTTCAAAGACATATTGCACAGTTTCTCGAATGAGGTGGAGAAGAAAATAAAGCAGAAACTCGCTGCTCTTCGCAAGGCGGCCCAAGAGGCAGCCGAGTCGGCCGATGTAGGCGCATGTCGCTCAGATGTGGTGCGGTCCTTGGTGGAAGAGTTTCATTGCTTTGCAGAAAGTTTGTTACAACAGACCGTGGTTCAGGATCATTTTTTCTGTGAGAAGCACTTGCGGATGTGTCCGCGAGTTCCTGCCAGGGACAAAGGCAAACTTTGGCTGGAAGTTGCGGGCACGCCCTGCGTGGCCTTCTGCAAGGGTGGCGGTTACGGAGGCCAGCTGGGCTGGCTTCACGACACCTCTTTGGTCTTCCTCGCCTGGGTGGCTTTTCTTCGCCAGGCTCAGCCGGATGTGGTTGTTCATGAGTGTGTGGAAGCTTTCGACTCTGAGGTCCTCCGCAGGTATTTGAATTCTGGTTGCCCTGCAAATCAGCCATTGTATCGAGTAGCCAGCGTTGACTGGGATGTTCTTTGGCAGGGCTTGCCTGTCAGCCGTCATCGGCGATATACGGTATGTGTGCGATCTCAGCATGGCCTGCCTTGTCTGCACCTGGAGGAACCGGGCTTGTGGCGGCGACTGGCTTTCGCAAAGCAATGTGTCGGCTCGGACATCTTTTTCCGGGCCCCCTCTGAAGATACAGAGGCGATTCGTGCCTCCTGGGCTGCCCGCCAGAAACTGCCCCCTCGTCGCATCAACTCCCAAGGTGTCCCGAAACCCTGGGCTTGGGAGGCCTTGCTCAGTGTTCGTGAGAGGAGTCTTGTCCTGTCTGTCAGAGACAGAGCTCAGCAGCTTTTGAAGGACTGGGAGGAAGAACTACTGGACGATGGCCCAGCACAGCTAAGCTTCTGCGACGGGGATCCAGATAGGACGCCCGTCTTCCAGTGGCTTGTGAACCTGGCTCAGAGCACAATGTACCAGCCCAAACTGTCACCCACGCAACTGACATATTCCCATTTGCCTACAGTCGTCTGCAGCAGTCGCTTTTTCCTGGACTCCAATAACGATGCATCTGTGCGTGCGGTGCATCCACTCGAGCATCATGCCATGCAATGTCAGCCCGTGTATCTGGAGCACGGCCATGCTGTTCTTGAAGCCTGCAACATGGAGTCGGTGTTGCGTGCGGCCATGGCCAATGGTGTGACTTTGGCGGAGCTGTCGAAAATGGCGGGCAACAGCATGAACGTTGCGGCGGTTGGCCAGATTATGTTGTTTGCTCTGGCCGTTCACACGTGGTCCAAAGACACTTCCTGTGACAAACAGACTCAGTAGGTGCAGCCATCGCTTGATCTGGCAGAACGTGTTGCAGAAGCCAGCCGGCGAGAGTTTGTATAGTTTGCTACAAAAGTCTGGGAGACGTGCAAAAACAAGACAAACCTTGCATAGTCTTTCTGTTGAGCGTGAAAGCTTCATGCATGTGCAGCCTGTGCAGCCAAGATTGTTGCGGCAGTTGCGGCGTTTTTGCTTCACACTCTGTGAGTGAGTCTGTTCAAGACTTGTTGTGAGTCTCGGTGTTGGCCAGTGCTGGCCAAAGGCTGTCTTGTTTGCTTCCCCCTGCACCCTTAGCCTTAGCTGCCCGGCTGTCATGAGCAGCATGCCTGGCGAACTGGACGTGTCCTTCATGGCGGAGCTTGAAGAAGTGATCGATGCGGCTGCGGCTGCTGGTGCTGAAGATCCTAAAATGGAAGAGGGGGCCAATTCCGATGCATCTTCGGGGTCGGGGGCCTCATCGAAGCGGAGCTTCAAGCGAGGACGAAGGTCCACGGGGTCGAGGAGCACAGCCCCTAGCGCGAAGGTCAAGCCGGCTAAGAAAATAGCCGGTGTCCGGAAGCAAACCAAGGCAAATTGCCGGAAGTGCAAAGGCTGCGGGCTTTTTTTCCGCCCAGAGGATATGGGCAGCAGATCCCCATACTGTGTCAAGGACAAAACTCGGGTGGACAATCTGACCCGCCTTGCCAAGCAGTTGGGCAGGTCCGCTTGGTTTGCTTCGATCAAAGCCGATGAAAGCAAGCTTCCACACGCCCTCAAAACTTACCGGGATCTCACCGGTGACGATGGCGAGGGGTCCAAGAAGAAGGCCGGGCCGCAGTCGAGTGTTCTTGTTGTAGTTGGATGACAGGTGATGGACGCATAAACAGTGATATGAGTGAGTCCGTGCGTGCTGCATGTGGCCCCGACCCCGACTCCCAGCTTGATTGAACACCCTGCAGGTTGTTTAGTTTTCGCCATTGAATAGCACCGATAGCTTCTGCTGCAGGTTCCCAAGGGCGTCCTCTTCCAATCGATGGAAAAGTCTGTGGCCGGCAGCAGAGTTTCGCACGATGCTGAGTACAAGTACATGCCTGAAGACCTTTACACAAAGCACGTGACAGAAGTCATCACGGAGCAGGAGGGCCGCCTCACTGGTGCCCAAGCGGCTGCCCAATGGTTTCTTGTTTGCGTGCAGATGCTGAGGGATGTTAAGTCAAGTCTGCGAGGGTTGTTTAGTGCCGTTGTGAATCGATGTAGACAGACCAAGGTCTAAATGGAAGGCGCTCATCGAGGAGGATCCTGACACCCAAGAGATCATTTATGACAAGAAGGGAAAGGATGGTGCATTGAGAGTCGCTGTTCCCATCAGTGACATTGTCCGATTGAGCAACTTCCAGGAGGATCTCAAAGAGTTTGGGCAGGTGCGCACCGAGAAGAACTTGGATGAGGCTGCCCAGGAAGCCAGGCGGAAGGACATCGTCGCCAACCACAACAGCGAAGATGCTATCTGCCGAGCTTCGAAACTTGCTCGGAGTGGTGCTGGCGGCAACGCTTTCATCGGCAAGACCTTCGACTTCGACTTCGAGGCCCTGATGAAGAGTATGGCTGATGAAGATGAGCAAAAGGACGAGGAGGGTGACGGCTCTGAGAAGGCGAGCTCACAGCCAAGCACCTCTGGCAAAGGCGGCCTCGACAAGGACAAGGATTCGGACATCAGCCCCTCCAAGCCGAAGGGTAAGAAGAGGGGGAAGGACGAGGAAGGCGCGCCGAAGCCGGGCAAGAAGGCCAAACAGTGGGACAAGGAAACGGTTGTTGCCAGCCGCATCAGGAGTGAGAACACTGCACTCTGTACATTGGAGGTGCAATTGACGCAACGGCTAGGAGAATGCCGCGAGGTCCTGGCGACGCTGCAAAGCAAAGGTCAGGATTGCAGCGAAGAAGCCAAAGTCGAGAAAGTCACCCTCGAGAAGCGGACGATGTTTCTGGCTGCCATCATGGGGACTTCGGGGGAGAAGCTCAAGGCGCTCATCGGTGAATACGACCGGCAGGCCCCGGCCCAGGCAATCGAGAAGAGTACTCCGCCGGCGCCGACGGTGGTTACGAGTTGGGAAGCGCAGCTGGAGACTTCGCCTCCTTGCGAAAGCTTTCGAGAGCTGACCACTCTTGCATCCTGGAAGGACTCCGTAGAGAGTCTGTGGAGTGCATCCTCGGCTGCGGAGCTGCGGGACTTGTCCAAGACCAGATGCACCCAAAGGCGGCCGATTCTAGAGCTTAGCCAAGCTTGCAAGACGGGAGTGAAGGAGCTGCAGAAGGCGATGACGGCCTTTGATGCGAGAAAAAAGCAGAAGGCCGAAGGCGTGCGGCCGAGCGCGAAAAAGGGTGCTGCTGCCGGCAGCGCCCTGTGGGAGACGGGATTGGAGGTGGCCATGGCGGTTCCCGAGGTCACATGTGCTTCTGACGAGGTGGGCTATGCCAGGTTTATAATTTTAAAGGCACTTCCCGAATGGAGGGAGGAAGGGACGTGTGCTGATCAGGTGGACTTCTCCATGCCCACCCTCTTCAAGTTGGCCAAGCCGCAGCTGGACACGTTGGCAACGGAAACTGTGCAGCAGAGACGTGTGACTGTGTAGTCGTTTGCTTAGCGGACTTAGCGATGAAGTGTTGTCGGCATTGTGTTGTAAGGCTTTGAACACTGCGTGGCGAGCACAGTCTAGTTTTGTGTCCTATCGAGTTTCCCCGTGATGTTTTCTGTCTCAGGATTCCTTGAAAGCGGCGGGCGACCAGTTTGCCACAGCCTTTGCAGCACGTGCGAAAAGCCATGATCGTGCACACATCACGAAGGCCCCTGAAGCCTGACCAAAGGCGAGAGCGGCGTGCAAGATGCAAGCCGAAGCCGCTGCGGTGTGGTCCAGCTTTGTGGGCTACCTGCCCAAGATGCTCGAGAACGTGGAGGGTTGCGAGTGCGGCCCGTTCCATGTGGGCGTCCAGGGTGGCAATGTGGCAACTGCCAGCGAGGCGGACTACATGGCCAGCATCCGTGTGGCGACCCAGGGGAGCCGGACCGTCATTGCAATTCCGATGTCGCTAGCGAGTCATGTATTCGGCAACCACGAGCCCACCGTTCTGTGGAGCAGGTTCATGAATGCAAGCGTGCAGGAGATCAACCAACTTGCCGAAGGTCGGCACGGTCGGCAGATGTTCGCCATCACGCATGGAGTTGGGGATGTGCTGTACCTCCCTGCGGCTTGGATCTTTGCAGAGAAGGTCAATGCCCAGAATGACATGCTGGGGATGCTTGCTCGAGGCCTTGTGTTGAAGGACCACCAAGCGATCACCGAGCTGGGCCTGGTTTTCAAGCTGCTGTCTGCTTCCAAGACGGCCGCAACAGAAGCACTCAAGCCCAAGCTCGAGATGATGGAGCGCATGCTTTCTGATTACATCAAGATTCAGCGTGAAATGGCGGCAGCGGAGGCCCTGATCCGCGACAAGGACAATGCCAATGCCGATGCCGATGCCAACGGCGGCGGTGAAGGTGAAGACGATTCCACAAAGGCCCCGGCCCCGGCCCCGACAAAGGCTGCTGAGACTGAGACTGATGAGGCTGCCAAGCCAGACGAGGCGATCCCGCAAGATCTCCCGAAGGAGGAGGTTCAGGAGGTTCCGAACGTACTCCCCCCCGTTGTCCCCACAGAGGACTCGGAATCGGGGCGGGAGGCCGCGCCGGGGCAGGTCATCGATGTCGAGAAGGTCCAAGAGCCCATCGAGATCAAGTGATTTTGCATTCATGTTTTATTCTCTTTAAGCTTTCTGTTGCCAAAGCCAGAGAGTCTACAGTTGGCTTATGCGGGCATTGTCATGTACCGGAGTGCTGAAAGGGGTCCGGAGTGAGTAGAACCTAGCCTGTCTGTTTTCAGAAATCTATCTAGAGTACCTGGTTCTCTTTAATGCATTTTTGGGATGCATGTTCCAGTGCCGTTCTCCGAGATAGGCTGGGAGTCACCGGACTTGTCCGTTGGATGGGCCAATGGGCAACAGCGTTCTGCACTCGAGGGCATGTCGACTGTCAGCGTGATTTTGATTTCCGGCTCTGATTTTCATGCCACTTGCAGCTTCTGTCTGCTGCAAACCTGTGACGGCTCCGACTGGATGTGAACATATCGAGGCTGCATGCGGCTTTGCCACTTGCAACGTACTTCGCTGCTTGCTTCAGAGCTGCCTTCATTGCTTCATGCAAGCTGAGATGGGTAGTGAGTCGTGTGCATGTCGTGGCCATGACGGCTTCTGTGCTCAATTGAATCAATCGGGTTTAGACTTTCGTCCTCTCAAGGCGTGCGGCGTGCCAATGTCGTGCGACTGTCGCTTGTCGCGCGACTCACGCGCGACTCGCGCGCGACTCGCGCGCTAGTACGGAGCCGTGACTGAGCCGTGGTCTCGCAAACATATCCGTAGAGAGCTGTCTAACGAGCTAGTGGTTTTAATGCGATTGAGCATGTGAGGTTAAGCTCATGGGTTCAGGATCCGCAGGATGGTTCATGCCGGTGGTTCCCGTACTTGTTACTTTCGTGGTTTTGACAATGTTGTTTTTTTCGTTTGAGAAGCAGTCAAGGTAACGGGTTAAGGATCTGCAGGAGCCGTGGTTCCAGTTGCAAAGACAGGCTCAGTATTTCTCCAGGCGTTGCGCAATCGCAATACATTGATGGCGAGATCGGCTTCCTGGTTGCGGTTTCATGGTGATTTGTGCAAGTTCGGGGTTGATGGTTGCAGCCCGAGGCTGCGGTGCACGTCGGGACGTCGTAAGGCGAGCCAAGCTGCAATGTTGCTTTAGATTCATCATAGTCCTGTGGTACTTTGGGTGCTGCAAAAGTCAGTTTTCTGTCGTGCTCCAGTTCGACAGGCGGGAGCCCTGTGCAGCTCTTGCTTGTAACGCAGCTTTGTGTCCTCTGTGCTGGGTGTGCTACCCCTACGACCACCACTACTACCACTGCCACCACGACTACCGCTACTACCGCTTCTATCACGGCTACCACCGCCACAGCCGCCACCACCACCACAACAACATCAACATCAACAGCAACAACAACTACTACAACTACTACTACTACTACTGCTACTACTACTCCTACTACTACTACTACTACTACCTCGAGAGGAAGTTCCACTGGCAGGCCAAGCACTTCTTCCTCTTCTGGTGTCAGTCGCAGTGAGGAGCTTATCCGCAGCACGTTGCAAGCCCCATGTGTTCGGCTCCTGCTCATCCTGCTGCTCGCCTTCACAAGTGTCACCAGTGTCACTTGAATCACTCGACACTTGGCCTATCCCCGAATCCAGGTCATCAAGGTGATGGTCGTTCTGAGTTGATTCATTAACTCGGGTCGAGGAGTCCATCCTTCAGCCACTGTGAGCTCGGCTGTTCCGGTCGATCCCGAAGAATGCGTGCTGCACGTTGGATGTGCAGCATATTCCACCCCCACGACGACGACCACTAGCACTAGCGGGACTACTACTTTGCACATCTCAACAGTGTACCCACCTAAGAACTAACCTGTTCAGTGTCACATTTCGTGTGTGTGGGACCATGAAGGACCAGTGACAGGGGTGGGGCAGAACGATTCGCTCCTGTACTGCACACGGCTCAGGTCATGGCGCAGGTCGCATGGCTACGGCTACAGCTTCAGGTCATGGCCTGAAGGTTCAAGGATTGTGGACCGCATCGTTTTCTCAACACTTGGCACATCAGATGGATCTGAACGGTAGGAGTGTGGGCGGTGTCCCAGCAAACCTTCTCACATGCTTTGCTTGGCTTGCAACCCTAAAGCCCTAAACCTCCTTCGAAGCTAAGCCTACCCCCTAGGCCCTAGGCCCCAAACCGGTCCGTGCTCAGACGGAGCTTGGCTCAGGTTGCACCACAAACCCCTCAGCTGCTGGCCAAGCTCGCTTGGCACTGAGTTTGAAGTTCGAGAGTGCCGCCTATTTGTTGCCAGTTTAATTTCATCCCTCACAGGACAGCCCACGGCGTGCCATCTCCAACCACTTGCGTGATTGGCCAACGCCTGAGCTGACACTAAAATCCTGAGTGATGTGTTTCGGTCATTAACGCTATCCATCTTGGCCGAATCTTGACATGTGCTGGAACTGCACTTGTTCACGAACTCAAGATTGCTCTCGTGAAATCTTTGCAGGGGCAGCTGATGCTCTGAGATCTACCAGGTGATCTATCAGGCTCGCTGTCCCTTTCCATTGTGTGCCGAGTCATAAGTTTTCGTCGTTCGCGTATAATGAGTTCGCAAAATCTGCAGGTCGCTGCACTTTTGGAACATGCTATGTATTTTCGAGGCCGTCCTCTGAGTCCTTTGCAATGATTGGGAAGACTCGACAGATGCTGGAGAGTTCAGCCTGGACAGGCACTTTCGTGTTGCCTGAGTGTGGCGGCTGCGGCCTCGCGAGACCGAGTATGCCAAGTGCCAAAACAGTGTGTCGCCTTGATTGTTGCTGTTTGTTCTGACACCGCAAACCCGCGAGCCTACCATCCAACCTCGTTGCCGAAGTCATGAGCCTTAGCCGTTGAAGAACCTTCGCAGCAGCGCGGAATGTAGATCTTCCGAACTTAAGGGTGTGTTCTTCAACCTGAGAGCACTGATTGACAGTTTTCGATAACCCTCGTTGTTTCTATTTTTCGGAGTCCGCTCCGGAAACCCCGCCGTAGCCATGCTTTACCCGAAACTAACTCATAAACCGTTTGCTTGGCCTCGGACTCCCGAACCCGGCAGCAGGAGTGATAGGATTGTGAGCCCGTGCCTGTGCGTCGCAGTTCGTCGACGCACACTGAGGTCAACCCGAGCTTGGAGAACAGATTGCTTGTGCAAAGCTTGAAATCAAGAGTTCAGCGATTGTTCTTTTAACGATTTTTGACAAAGCATGCTTCAATTTGCTTAAACAGCTCCGCTGGTCCGCCTCCCCAATGGTTGTTTTGGCTGACTCGAGCAGTGTGGTAGACAATTTGAATGTATTGTTTCAAATAATTTGGTACTGATACCCGCGAGGTGACTGAACTGGGCAAGTGTGGCGGTTTTTGCAGCTCCCATTGGCTCTTACGGGGCGCTGTCAGCATTAAGCTAGGAATCGTGTTCTTGCCACTTGTTTCCTGCTGCTTTCGTTTGCGCAGCCCACTGGCACTGTATTCGTTGTCCGATTTGAGGGGCAGATGAGGAAATCAACCAGACCTGTGGCGTGCAAGCCTCCAAACCCAACGCTCGTGCCCGAAACACATAAACTGTGACGGGTGTCCGGAGCATCTGGCCAGAACACATGTTTCGAGTGCCAACCCCGGCCATTTTGGCCAAATTATGGCAGAACACATGTTTCGAGTGCCAACCCCGGCCACCTCGGTTAAATCGCATCCTTACCCCGGAAACGAGTGAAGCTAGTACTCCGAGCCTGATCCGCACATGCTTATGATCATCGATAACCTTCTGGACGGACAAGTTACGGATCCACTCAAAGGCAAAGGTGAACTTCGTCGGTGGTCCGACCTCAAAAGTCAGCTTTGTCAGCAGCAAGAGATCGAGAGAGAGAAATAGGACCCTCATGTCAGGGAAGTCCTGGGAGACAAGGCGACAGTTCTGCTTGACACCCTGTTGCAGGAGTTGGATCTCCCAGACCGCCGTCTAGTCAAGCACATGACCCAGGGTTTTTCCCTTTTGATCCTAAGCCTCCATCCTCGACCATCGCCGCACGGCTGAAAACTGCAAAGGGCCGCAATGAAGCCACTATTGCGAAGCTCGACAAACAGCCTAGCGACGAGGTCTCCGAGAAGGCTTGGTTGGAAACGCTTGAAGAAGTTCAGAAAGGCTGGATTTTCGAAGATACCGACCCGCAGCTTGACAAAGTTCTTGTGGCGCACCGTTTCGGTCTAAAGCAGGGTTCGAAAACTCGAGTCATCGATAATTGCAAGTCCTGCTCTTTCAATCTTACCACTGGTGTCCCGGAGAAATACCGACTGCACGGAGTAGAGTTCATAGCTGCCTTCCTGCTGCTTGCAATGCGCGATCCAAGATCGCACGGGTGCAAGATCCGTGGACGTACGCTCGACTTGACGGCAGCCTACAAACAGTATGCTGTCCATCGCTCCGACCGCGATGTCCTTAGGATAGGAGTGAAGGACCCGCAGCAGAATCGCACTAGAGTTTACGGAGTAAACTCTCTTCCGTTTGGGGCCACAGGTTCAGTGCCTTCCTTCCTTCGATGCGCTGCAGCCTTTTGGCTGCTCGGTGCCAAGGGGTTAGGTTTAGCCTGGACTAATTATTTCGATGATTACCCGATGTTTGCAAAGGACGACTGTGCTGAATCGGCAGACGAAGTAGCTGCCGATTTCTTCGATCTCCTTTCTGTCCTGTACGCCCGCGAAGGAAAGAAAGCCACTGCTTTCACTGAAATCTTTAGGGCTCTCGGACTCTTGTTCGATCTCAGCCGTTTCGGCGAGGGGGAGGTCACTATCGGCCACACTCCTGAGCGACGTGAGGAGTTGAAGGCCACGATAGAAGCCATCCTAACCGCCGACTGCCTTTCGCACAGTGAGGCCGAAAGTTTGAGGGGCAGACTGCATTGGTTCACATCCTTTTTGTTTGGGCGCCGATCGTCACAAGCCCTTAACGTGGTTTCCGATTGGGTGAATCGAGGAGCCACTCACGGCAGACTCTCTGACGACATGAAGGAAGCGCTCACTTACTTGAAAGATGTGGCCCTTACAGCCCCACCTTTAAAGATTTCGCGTAGTCTACACAAGACGTTTTACATTTTCACTGACGGCAGCCTTGAGAACCACACCGCTTGCATCGGAGGCATCTTGCACGATGATCGAGGCGAACCTCTCAGCTTCTTTTCGATCGTGCTTGACAGTGCTGCGGTTAAAAGGTTGCACGAACAATCAGAGCATCCAATATATGAAATCGAACTGCTTGGAGTGTGGGCGGCCCTGTCAATCTGGCAGGAGTGCATCCATGATAGCTTCTGCGTTTGCTACTTGGATAACGAAGCCGTCCGTGGAGCCTTAGTAGCGGCCAGATCCTCCACCCTTAAGGGAGGATTGATCTTGGAAGACTGCTTGAAGCTGGAAGACTCAGCGCTCTGCAGGCCATGGTTTGGCCGTGTGCCAACCCATAGTAATTGCGCAGACGACCCTAGCAGAGGGTCCTTCGAACACTTGACGGCAAAAGGGGTTCGTCGCGACTCCCTAGCTTCATGCTGGCCCTTCTAGCTGCTTGCTATTGGGGCTCCGTGAGGGCAGCTGGTGTGGGCCGTACATCGGTTCACATGCTGAGAGTTTCATCCGAACCCCTTAGCCCTTTCGAGTAAAACGAAGGACTGTCTTCCTCTGTTGTGCTTTATGGGCTTCGCCCTTACCGCTCGGGTGTTCCCCGCCGCGCGCACGTTCGACATGGATAAATAAGATTTTGGTCCCGTAGGGAACCGGAGGGATGAAATCTTTATTTATCCTCCCAATTTGTCGACGGTTTTATATTCTTTATAAAACCGAGTGCGCGTTCATCTTTAGGTGCGTGTCAGAGCTGTCTTGCAGTTACTGACTTGAGCTTCATCTCCGTTGCCCTTGTTTTCAAGGGACGGGGGGGTGGGAAACCTACTTTCCTCGGCATGAGCGAAACTGCTTGTCCCGCCCACCCTCGCCGTTATTTAGCTGTGATTTCTGCCACACCCCTTGCCCTCCGTGAGGGCAGCTGGTGTGGGCCGTACATCGGTTCACATGCTGAGAGTTTCATCCGAACCCCTTAGCCCTTTCGAGTAAAACGAAGGACTGTCTTCCTCTGTTGTGCTTTATGGGCTTCGCCCTTACCGCTCGGGTGTTCCCCGCCGCGCGCACGTTCGACATGGATAAATAAGTGTTATACAATTATTATAATGTTGCAAGGGTTGAAAGGGTTGAAATTTCAACCGGTTGAAAAATAGCTTGTCCTTTTGATCCAGCTTTGGGGTGGACTTTTCAACCGGTTGAAATTTCAACCGGTTGAAAACGTAGTAGTGCTGTATATATAAAACACTATAAGCTGTGTACCAAACTATTAAACTTTTTAACTGGAGGCCACAGCCTCCAGGAAACCTACAATACAAAGATCTTGCTGCTGTGCGGCTACGGTCTGGGTTGTTTCAGGACAATCTTCCAGGGTCTATATGTTCGGTGGTACAGGTTCTAGGTGTTCCAAAGGCTCATGGATAAAGGTTGTGCAAGGTGGGGGTTGCTCCATTTGTATAGTGGTTTAGGTGAATTGGTTCCTCTACAGTCTCAACGACATTCATATGGAAGAGCCTGCTTACTTCAGCAGAATTCTTTGGGAGCTTGCCGAGCATTATTGGGGACGGCGTGCTCCGCACGTCCGCCTTGCCCTAAGGGGATGAGGTGCGCAAGGTACTCGGCTACGGAGCGTTGTGGGACGCCGCTTGGCTCAGACTCCTTACCTGGGGTTAGTAGGTTTGCCATGGCCACACTGCCGGAGCATCTCGTGACACCGATAGTCCTACGAGCCACAGTTCAGGCAATACCGGTCCTCTTTGGAGCCCTGCCGTCTGCTGCCACCCGGCAGATAATGCGTGCCATTGGATCCCAAGAACGCAGAGCAGCTGCCCAGGTGCTCAGACAGCTTTATGCGGAATTCCATGGACGGGTTACCGCTTATCTGGCGACGCTCAACCTCCATAGCTTCCATGCATCGAATAATTTCCAAGTGGCGGTGCGACTCGGCGTTCAAATACGCACCACTATTGTGCAGCTTGACCTAGCGCTCGTGGTTGCCGTCGCCTCCGTGTCCCGATTGGCGTACAGGGTGGTCCATGGTCTCTACTTGGGGGCAGACTTCGTAAACATGGCTGACCTGCAATCTGCGCTCATCGAGTTGCAACCCTGGTCTTTTGCGTGTCCGGCTCTGTGGGGGATACCGTATTTCTCCATGGAGCCTGAGTGCGCGCTGCCGCTCACGCGGCTGCGACCGCCGATACAGGTACGCAACAATGAGAATCGGGCGGATTCTAGCCCGGCTTAGCCATGCCCTACCGACGCCCGCCTAGGTGGGAAGCCGCCGAACTTGGGGGCAACACTACCTCGTCTGTGGCCCTTGCGATGCCCACATGTTGGGAAGCTGGGCAGTGCCGTTCTGCTATTCCTGCTGGACCCCGGAGATGCCTCCTTCCGGGTAGCTCAGCCTGGTGCAGGGTTGCCGGCTATGCAACTAGTATCTACGATTGGCCCTTGCGATATCCCTCCTGGGAAGCTGGGCGTCTTACTGTGCACCGTGTCGGCTCGTCCGATCACCTTCTGCGATGTTTGCACTGAGAAGCCATGCCCGGCGGCCAGCTGGACGTTGTTCACCGCGCTCGACGCGGTGCACTTTGTGCGGAGCCCTTGCGATACCCATGTGGGAAGCTGGGCTGGCCTGATGTGCAATCCTCGATTGACATGCCTTGGTTATCCACTGGACGCTGTGGCCCCGCGATAACCACATGTTAGGTAGCTGGGCAGTGCCGTTCTGCTATTAAAGCTTGACCCCGGCGATGCCTCCTTCCGAGAAACCAAACCTGGTTTTAAAGAGCTGGATGGCCACGCCTGCTTCTCTGACCCTAGTTGCTCCTGGTTCTTAGCATCATTGACCGCCTGGTCTCACGCTTATCTTCCTTCGTGTGACTCTTGCCTCGGTGGATTGCCGGGTGGTGCTACACAACGCATGCCTAGGATCGGCCCTTGCGATACCCACTCCTGGGAAGCTGGGCGTTTCATTGTGCACCGTGGTGGCCCGTCCGATCACCTTCTGCGATGTCTGCACTGGGATGACAAGCCAGGCGGAGAGCTAGAACTTGATTCAACGCAATCGATGTGATACGCTCTATTGTGATGCCCTTGCGATACCCATGGGGTAAGCTGGGCTGGACCGTTGTGCAATTCTCGATTGGCCCTTGCGATGCCCACCCATGGGAAGCTGGGTCTGGTTGGCCTGCCGCGTTTTGCTGTAGCTGGTCTGCCGGTGCGCGGCCTCTCTGTTACATTGTATCCGCTGGCACCTTCGCAAAACCCACATGTCGGGAAACTGGGATTCTCCAGTATAGCGCCTTGGATGGAGCCGGTGCGCGTGGCTCTCCTCCATTCCGATCCGATATAATCCAGGATGCTCCTGCTTTCGTGCAGCTGGTTGCCGCTCCGGAGAAGGCCAACTGAGAGACGCTACAGCTAGAAGGTCGAACGATCCCTGCTGGCTAAGTCTGCAAGTCGCGACCTGTCTCATCCATTAGGATCTTTCTGTACAGTGCTTCATTTTCTTCTTGTTTATATTTACTTCTTACTGGGACCGAGTGCTACAGCCGTAGTCGACGAGGCCCGCCCACGCCAAAAAAAAAGCTCTCTGTTTGCCCTTGCGAGACCCTTCTTGGGGAAGCTGGGCTGAATGAACAAACGGATTGGTGTGTTGTATTGTTCGACTTATGGATGTTGGAATATGTGTGCGCGACTCCGCCGACGGCAAGAAAAGTTTTGTGCAGTTGTTAGTTATTATTGTTCTATTTCTTGCTTCTTCTCGCAGCCACGCCAAAAAAAAGTTTTCAAATTAACGGTTCCACAAAGACAAATGCGGCTTCAACGTTTTTTTGCATTGCATTGCTTTTTCTGCTGCAAAACAATAGAGTCAACATTTTCTGGTGGTTGAGAGCATCTACATTGCTTTGACTTGGCAGTCTTGTAGTTCATATTGGAAACTTTTGTTTTCTCTACGTTGCGCTAAACGGACATCAGGCAAGCAAGATCGAGAAACTGCTTCAAGGAAGACGGCATAGAACGTGAACTTGGGACCAGGCTTTTGACACACATTGCGGAGAAGTCAGAGAATCTGCATGTTCTTATTGTAGTATCTTCGAGATGTTAATCTGCACTCTTTGTTGTGGATCTTCAAGATGTTGCTTTTTTGCATCCCAATACAAACTGGTTCCAACTTGTGAGGCTTACCAACAACTTGGACGTTGCGTTGGGATGGGTTCGGCTTGAAGCCAGCGCGTGCACAAACCCCATGTAGCGCAGAAACCGAATCACCTGAACAATGTCTCAGTGAGCAGCTTCGCTTGGCTGCATGTGTTTGGTTTTGAGCTACTCTCTTCACTTTGCACCCGCCCGCCCGCCCTGTATGTGGGTGCCGCCGATGATTGACTGCCATAGGCAGCTGAGTCAGATTGTGTGCCCGAGTGCACTCTGTTCCAAGGGGTGGATCCCCGGCACCTTTGCTGTGCGACTGGTTGTGCATCCAAACACCGTACGTGCCTCATGTCTTGCTAGGTTTGTGCGCGGTAGGGTTGTTCTACCGTCAAGCTGGTTTGCCTGCAGACTAGACACCCAAACGAAACCAAACGAAGCTTCGATTGTGCTCGTACTGCACCGATGTTAATATCTGTACTGCGGACTGCACTGTTCTGTTGTACCATGTAGCACTAATTCATGACCTTGTCTTGAAGAACGTTTCTTCCAAAAACACTTCCTCGACGGATCAGGTTGCAGGATTGCATGCTCGAAATCGACAACAGGTTAAAAGGTGTTCGGACATGCAACAGACAGTTCGGCACATGTCGAATTCTTCACAAACAAGTCGTCGCAATAGATAGCCAGAGTGATGATAATGGTTGCAGCTGGATGCAACATTGCTTTAACCAACAGTTGGAACAACTTCTGACCACAGCATTGCTCCCGATGCAGCATGGTTGGACTTGGCTTCCGCATGGGCATAAGTGCTGCTATGACAACAGTTCTTGTGCTCCCGCAGATTTAGTTTGTTCAGAAGTCATGTGTTTCATGTCAGTGCAGTCATGACAGGTAGCGTTGATCTGCATCCCGTGCCAGGTGGTCAACAACAACCCGGAAAGTCGGTCCACTTCTCAAGTCCTGTTGCGAATCACTGTTGGTTTCAGGTGTCGACGACGTCATTGGCTCAAGTGCGAAACCTTGCTAGGAAGACTGGTTTCAACTTGGTGGTTGACACGAAAGCACCAATACTTGTGTCGATCCGTGTTTGTTCTGGCCACAGCTCTTTGATGGGCGTTGGGCGATCCACCAGCAAGGACCAAGTTCATGCAAGGATGCACGCTCCGAAGTTGCATCGGTTTTCAGATGGGGGTTTGTTCCATTTCGCACCTACTTTTCCAGGATGTTTTGGTTGCGACACCTACTCGGCGATGAGTTCGTGGCGCCAACTCGCAGCTCGGATGAGATTGATCCGA